ATCTAAATAAAAAAGCACACAGAGCGCAAATATGTGGCAAATACTCCGTCTTTTTTTCTAAAATTGAAATGGTTTAATCAAAATGAGGTTCTAATTTAGTTCAAGAAGCTTAAGAAAAGTTATAATTTTTAAAAATAATGTTTTTTGCTAAATATAAAGCAGAAATCGCTTTGAAAAAATTTAAGTCTTACATGCCAATCAAAAATTAATGCACTTAAGAACACTAATTTTAAATTATGATAGAACTAAATTTTTGGTTTTCCGCGGATTGTAGTTTACTGCAGAGTTTACGTTGGCTGAAACAACAATTGACAATAAAACAATTCAAAAGACCTATTTTGTTGCGCAGAAACATGCGTCTCTACGCAAAATTAATCAAATTTGGGTATCTTGGTTGAAAAAATGGAACTTTGTTTCTTGGCTGCTCTTTTTTGTATAACAATATAACATTTTGGCTGCTCTTCTTTTTATCAAAAAAGAAACGTTTAAAAACTAACGTTTTTTGTTTTGAAAACTTATGCGCTTAAATCAATTTCTATGTCCTTATTTAACTTACCTGGATAGCTATAGATAAATTTCACAGTTCTCGTGACGTCACTGATATTAAACAAACTCTCCTCCGCATTCAAAAAACCCTCGCATTTTCCTGTAATATTTTATCAAACCGGATCACCTGTCGACTTTCTGTCTCGTCTCCCCCCAAACAACTTTTCCAGCATTGTTGACGATTATCTTTCCAAGTTAGAAAAACAGTTTCAAGGTTGTAAGGGTTGGATTTTTTCAAATCCAAGCTGGTTTCAATGAAGAAAGAACTTAGAACAGGGCTTATTTTGTAAGATAAAAGCAAATGTAAAAATAGAAGTACTTTTTTGAATTGTGCCATTTTGACTGAACTGCTGAGCTGTATTTTCTTGCTTGCTTGAGGCTCGCTCGATTTTTTTTGTTTGAATTCAAACTTGATTGCGCAGGTGTCGGCTGTTCAATAAACATCAATATACGTTTTGTTTTGCATCTGTAGTCAAACATAGCACAAAGAATGCAATTCAGAAAATTCAATTTTCAAATCTCTTTACTCTGTTTTTTGTTACTTATTTCTAGATTTGAAATGGACAAAAATTGAACAAAGTTGCTACCCGGGTTGAAGTCCCGCCGTTAACTATCGCTTTTTCTGTAGTATCCCAGTGATGGCTAATTTCCAGCGCTGATTCATTTATAATTCAAAGTTTTTTGCATAGCTAAGTCTGCAATAACTCAGAGCGTTTTCAGTAATGATTCCGTAGAAAATCAGCGCTAAAATTTAACTCATTCTAGTAGCTTTCAGTTGAGAGTCTTAGTTGTGAGCACTTTAACTTGGTTAGCAGATGTTTCATACATGTTTACAAAGCTACTAGTTGCGGGATCAAACCCCAGTTGTTCACAATTTTTGCTCATTTTGATAGCATTTTCATCGCTGTTGCATTGCTGAAAAATAGTGAAATTAGCGATAATCCATCGACAAAATTTGCTAGTGTGGCAATAAACATCGATACTTCATCCATGGCGATCGCTTTGTTTTTCACATTTTTTTTGATAAATTTCAATGTGAGCTCAACACGGTATCGATTGAAACAAAATTTTGTTTTTTGTTCTTCAGGTACATTTGAAAACTGCTGCAATCTCGTTTTTTTTTCAGGTCAGTTTCGAATGTGGTCAGTTTAAAAATTAGGCTGCCAGCAACATTACGAAGCCAAACTGGGCACTGGATAGGCACACTATTTGGTGTCTGTAGGTCATTGGAATCCAGAGACAAGTCTTTAACCATGTTTTAAAATGTTAAAGGATTGCACCTGAAAGAATTCCGTGGACTTCCCGTACGAATGCAAGTAACATAAATTGATTTGACACATTTGTTTTGTAGCGCATTCTGCTACAAGCAATTACAGCTAGTACAGAAACCTCAACAAAACATTAAAATCTTATCATAGGCTATAGTCTTTAATTAATCATTCTAGAGCTAAGTAGAAACAATAAAAATACACACAATTTTTTTAATTAAAAAACTTTTTGGTGGCACGTCTTGCTTGAAGAACTCTAACACCGATACAATTACAGAAAAAAAGGCCATATTTTGGTTTTTTTAAAATAATTTATCCTGACGCAAATATTACTTAAACGGGAACACAAACGCGAACGCCGGCATTAATTATTTCCACGTCAACAAGAAGTAATTTTTTGGGCTAACGATATTAGTCGAAATGTCTTTTCTTGGTCAAACACGGTCAAAATGTTTTTTTTTGGTCCAAATTTTGTTTCCTCGTTGGAAACACATCAGGCAAATCACGGCCAGTTATTTTGCGACAATTGCGTCTTTGCTGACCTCTTTGTAAATTCAGTGAGGAAAGAAGTTTCAAGTGTTTAAAACTAATGGATAAATGTTGGTTGTCTTAGTATTTCAAGTTAAAAAGCTTTATTGGAAGGCCAAATACGTGTTTTTTTGATTGCCATGAAAAATTATTTTAAAAATTTTCCTCTTTAATAAATTCCATTGAGTAAAAAAGTTTTCGATGTTTCAAACTAATGGATAAAAGTTGGTTGTCTTGTTGTATCAAATGAAGAGAGATTTTGAAATGCTTTACTGGAAGGCCAAATATATCTTTTTTTGCTTCCCATGCAAAATTTATTTATTTTTTTTCGACCAACAAATCCCACCTAACCTTATTTTGTTGCCTTTATCTTAGACTTTTTTCACACTTGATTTTTTTTCCGACTTCCAACCTTAGAAATTTTTTCAGCTTTGCAAATTTGTTAAATACCGTAATAAGAATGCAAAGTCAATGGGTCTTAAATACTGGCGGTTTTTTTAGTTGCCTCTTTGCGGCTTCGAGGAAAAAAATAGAGATAACACGTGAAATGGCTTCTAAAAAATTTTGCCTGCTTCATGAAAAAAAATTGTTTCTGATTTTTTAAAAATCTTTGGACACTTAAGGATGGCCTTTCAAACCTACGTGAATTAGTGAACCGACGAGTTCAATGGTTTAGGGATGAGACTCAATGTATATTATAATGACAATTTGCAACTTTTTTAAAAGCTGCATCCCGCCATTTCTGCCACTCCCGCCAATTTTGATTGCAACATTTTAAATGTATTAGAAGACAATTCAATTAACTCAAAGATTGCTCGTTGTTCCAATCATTTGGAAATCGGGTAGGAACTTTGAATTCGGGTGTGTTTTAGCTTTTTCTTTATTTTGACGTTTTTAGATTTTTTGATTTTTTGTTTTTCTAGTCATTTTTTCACTAAAAATTGTCGTCCTTTTGCATATTTTTCTGAGACTGTCGAATAAACTCTAGTTTTTCCTTCAGATTTTTTATCGCACCGCACAGAAAAAAAGATACTACTTTAAAGAAAACTTTTTTTAAGACTTTTGTCGGAACATACTGTGATACTTGCTTAGTAACCAGCTATACTTGTTTTTGTTTGCTTTTGTTTAAAGTTTGAATGTTTTTCAAAGCAAGCTGAAAATTTTGATTTTCCGAGCTCTCCAAAAATGTCGTAACGACCCTATTTCTCGGAATTCGAAAGCAAACTGAAAACTTAAAAATTGATAGTAAAAAAAAACAAGCTTGTTTTCATCCCTGAAAAATTAATGAAGTTTGAACGTGTTATGCCGCTCATCAACTTGTCGCTAACTTTTCATCTGATGCTCATTTATCAGGAGGATTTTTTTCACACCAATTTTTTTGAGTAAAAGCAAGAATGGGTGTCAACAATTTTTTTTCGATATCAGCCATTATCTGGCCCTTGGACTGAAAAATCATCTTTTTTTTTGACATTTCAGAGGCAGTTTTTGTGAAACAATCAGGGGAAAAAAATTAAGTAACTTTTATCGGACATGCAGTTTAAAAACAATTGACAAATTTTGCTTGGACTCCGAACCCACTTGTATCAAAACCCGCTGCAAACTGAGAAAAACTGTTCCTACCTACCACTCTGTGGCGACAAGTCAAATCAATCCCGCTGAAAGTCGGTTTTTCAGCATTCAAGCTTATTTTACGTTGCTGGGAAACTCAGTTTTTTAGGGTTCAAGTGTGAATGAATTCACAAAAAAAGCAGTATCGCGAACTTATTGAAAAAGTATAATGTATTTTGGCATGAATGTGATGAAAAACTCATGTTGCATTTTACTTTTTTTTGCTTACTGTTTAAGGTTCGCTTATTGTTTCATTTTGTGTTCTGCCGTTTGTCAAAATCATCGTTTTAGCGCTTATATAGGACAAAAGGCTCCTTTCTCCATACAAAAAATGCTAATCATACAATTTTATTAAAGTTATCTGTAAAAAAAAGGTTTATCATTCAATTTCCACTTAGAAAAATTGTATGACAAGCATTTTTCCCCATACAAACATAAACATCGAAATCTTGCGATTTGTTTTCAAGTATTTTTGAATTTTCTTGTAAGGAATTTTATCAATAGTTTTTTTATTGTATGGGATAAATGCTTCATAAAAGCCTCAGAGCCATAAACAAAAAACCACTTACTAAAAACCACTTACTTATCAAAATACTACACTTGCCATTTTGCTTCCGTTTAACTTATTGATTTTATTGTCCTTGAAAAATTTTGGTTATTGTGCTTTTGGTAGTTGTATGACTAGTATTTTTGGTCATCCCGGGTGAGCAAAACACAGGTACATAAAGGTACACATGCCATGCCAACTTTGATTGCATTATGACAGCGTTAAAATGGTTTGTCAAAACTGAAATTGAAAGGTACGGGGAAGCGGAAAAGAGCCGTTTATATCTCTAGCGTCTCATCAGTGGCGCTGCTTATCGCAGACTGAAATTAATACCATTTCAGAGATGTCTTCTCTGTTTTAGTTTTTGTTCACGCGCACCTGTCAACACTAATTTTCCATTGAGTTGTTCCGAGTACAAGATTTTATGGCTTCACGGCCGTAATTTCGCACGCGCTCTCTTTACCTTTCTAAGTGCATACATATCCTGTGCTGCGCTACTTCATAATGCTACTCTATCAATTTCTATTCAGAAAAAATTGTCTTTAAGTACCTCCAATTGCGATCAAATTGTTTTCCTGATTGAATAAATATTCGATTTCAAGTCAATTTTTTTTATTAAACTCAACCAGAAAATCAAAGCGTAATGTGTAATGTTTGGATTAAAAGTCTTTCTGTTTATTTTATAACCTGTAGTCCAATTCCAAGTTAACACCTAAATTCTAATTAAAACAACCTCAATTAGAATCTAATCAACGCATAAATTTACGAGTTAGTTTTTCATCTCAAAAGTTATTCTGTGTTTTTGCCGACATTTAAACTTCCTAATGCATTACGTAACCCCGTTATTGTTATGTAATATGATTTTAATATGTAATTAGTTAATATGAACCGAACAGTTCTCGCCGACGTTCGTCCCCTGGGCTCGGATTTGTACGACTACGACGAGCAACGAGAGGGTTACCAGGTAATTTAGTATAATTCTAGCAGACTAACAATTAGCAGACAGATTTGGTAGACAAATATATTAGCAGGCAATTCAGCTGAAAAGCATTTCAACAGACAATCAACGATCAATTTATCTGATGAACATTTAAATAGACAATCATGTTAGCAGAAGAGTAGGATCTCTTTCGGATCAAGTTAACATCCTTCCCCCCAACCCCCCCCCCTCCCAAATAGACCAAGTTAAGATCCTCCACCCCAGCGTTCATTTTATTTTAAATCTACTTAGCGCTGCAGGTAAAATGCTCTATTCTGATTGGCCGAAAATTCTAACTCAGAACCAAGTTAACATCCTCTTCCCTAAACGGATTTGGAGGGGGGATGTTAACTTGGTTCTCTCTTTCACTATCCCTATATTTGATACTTACTCCACCTCCCTACAATGAAATCATTCAACTATTAAACATATTTGATGTTGTACCTATTAACGAGACCCCCCCCCCCCTTGCAAAAAGGGGAGATAGTTGAAAAGGCTCGAAAAGCATTTTAGCAGACCAAATTTTCAGGCAGAACAACAAAAGCATATGACTAGTAAACATACAGTATAATCAGTCCATCCCATTATGCACTTTTTCAAGGTAATTTAGCGGACAAATTTGCTTGATTTTACGTATAAAATTTTTAAAAAGATAAAAACAAAACAAGCGGTGCAAAGCCCTAGTGAAAGTTCCGACCGCTCATAAAAGTCTAATAATTAAAACTGCTAAACTAAAAAGATGTGACGAACATTTCAAAAAAAAGGAAAACAGTTTTTTTTTCGGATTTTTGCCCGGAAAATCCATCCGCAAAACCTATTACGCTAAAGTGTATAATTTGCATCTAATCACGCATTAAAAAATCAAAAAGGTGGTTGGCCAACAATGAAACTTATATCATCAGCTCATATTGGCGCAAAAGATATTGCCTCAGTTACAAATTGCATGATTTGCATGAAAACTCATTTAGACAAAAAATCATTTTAATCAATAAAATCTCATAACTGTTTCTGCTTTCATGATTTTACTCGTTCGGGATATATATTTTTTTTTCAATTCAAATGTTATCAATTATTCTGTGAGGCGAAAATTCGTAAGATGCGACAATTCGTAACACACAACATTTTATAACAGAAGATTAAGCAAGGAACACTGATTCGCGCTCAGTATTCCTCTCGTTTCGAAAATAAGCTCCGCGGAGCTGAGCGGAGCAAGCGTATCCTTCTTACCACTTACCAATGCCTTGTTACGAAAATTGTTGCCTGTTACGAATTATCGCCCTACTTAACATTCAGCGCATCTGACGTAGAGGCACCGCCCATGCTCGAGACAACAAAGACCTTGACTTAAAAACCACTCGGGGATCGTTGTTTTTTCCCAAACTGCATACTTATTTACAAAAAAAAAACAATTAAAAAGTCTTTCTAATTTAAGCTTTAAATTTTTTTTATTTTTCCATTTATTTAGCTCCTAATTATTACGCATGCAAATTCTACGCAATTTTTTTTGCAATTTAAATTGTTTTTTTGATGCAGTTTAACTTTTCTTTTTTTTTGGTCTTTTTTTCGCAACATGAACTTTATACAAAAGTCGCAATTTATGCGAAGCTGCGATTCGTTTCTGTGTTACGTTTTTTCCCTAAGTTAAATTAAACAAAAGTTTATGCATAGAAATACATTATATAGAACTGAAATAAAAGTTTTATAAGAAAATGCCATGTTTGAGCCTGATGTTTCATTTTATAGTTATCGAATTTTGTTGAACCTTCCCCGACAATTTCGTTGGCCTCATATCTCTTTGGAGCGCTTTATAACCCATTCACATCCAACAGTATATCGTTTTATACCCCGGGTTGGCGTTGCAGAGATAATTATTGCTGTTTCTGGACCTGATCGATGGCCGCTTATCCATGATCAGGACAAAAACATAGATAAAACTCGGATTTAGCGCTTAATTATTTCTGATTTTTGGAATAGCAATTGTCACACTGAGTTATCCATGGTTTAGTGCTGCCCTTGAGTTAAAATAGTCATTGCTGTTTCAGGCCCTTATCAGCGGACACTTATCTTTGATCAGTATATTTGCAGCACTGATTCATGGCATCTTGCTGAATCAGTGATGCCTATCGCTTTAAAATCAACCCAGGACTTCTTTTTTATGACACTTATTTCCATTTAACAGACTCAATTTTGTTTTAATATTGTCCAAAACATCAATTTTTGTAAGAATGCTTTAGTTTTTCTCAAAATTTTTGTTGTTTATAAACAATTTTAAATTTTTTAACAGCTTACCTGGATTCAGTTTGGAGCAAATTTTGAGCTGAATCAGTTCTCCGCCTCCTTCTAAGTCCCCCCTGTTTATACGTAATTCTACTTTATTCTTTTTTTTTCAGCCATATGAGGAGTGGATCACTAAGAAGGCGGAAAAAGAGGCTAAGAATGAGGCCAAGATAGCAGGCGCCACTTCAGCAACTGCAGTTGCTGTTGTGCAGAACACCACTACACACTCTAAAACAGAGGGAATCAAAGGAGAGATCAAGGTCACCAAACCGATACACAGTAAGCAGAAACTACTTTGAAAAAGTGTTAAAAGTTGTTAGAACTGCTTGAAAGTTTGTTATTTTAAACTTGAAACAATCGGTATTTGTTGATGAAGACTTCTTTAATTATTTCCGCCCATTTTCTGTACCTAGTTATGAATTGCCACCCCTATAAAAAAAAACTAATTCAACGGTCAAGCATATGTGAAGTTTGTACTTGGAACAATCCCCCTCCTTTTCTGGGGGAACAATTTAAGGAGATTCAGATCCACAAAAGTCAAATAAATTTTTGCTGCCAACAAGCACATCTGTGAAAATTGCACTGTTATCAAATATCATTGAATACTGAAATTCAGAATGACCTCAGCTTCTGTGGCAATTAAAATCTCAAACTGTTAGCTTTTCCATAACGGAGAAGAAGTTAAACAATTGTCTTTATAAGCTATTTCCGACTTTGCATATTCAGTTAGTGGTATTGAAACACTCTTGAAAAAAATCAGAGACTAGCAAGCACGTGGTTACAAACAGAAAACAAAATAATAAATTATAAGTTGAATAAAATTGAAACAGGGAAAAGTGTTCACGCTGGTCTAATTTTCATTTACAAATTATCTTGGTTCTCTAAAAAGTATTACAAACAGCCAACATAATAATAAATTGAGGTATGCGTAAGGGAAATGTTAGCCCTTGGGTCAAGCTCTGTTTATTTATCTAGACGATGACTTGGTTCTATTCAAAGTGCCCAAACTGACGTTCCGAGAGTGGATCTGCACTTGCGAGCGACGACTGCGGAACGGAATCCGACATCCTGAACTTGCCAGCCTGTACACTGTGCGAAACGAGAAATGGATTTGGGGCAGGGAGGGGAGACTGCATGCGTACTTCTTGCGGGTCAACCGACCTCTGACCCCCCAAGAGGTCAATCAGGCCAAGTTTCCCCACCTGGATAAAGTTTCGGTGGAATGGGCAGCCAGTGTCCACGAAGATATGCCACGGTACATTCAGAATCTCATTCAAGTGCAGCAGGTAATTTTCTTAGGTATCTTTTCTTAGTATTGATTTTTACCATATGCAATTCGCAAAGGTATTGTAATCTGGTGCTAGAATTGTTCCCGTAAACAACTTTGCTAAACGAACAGCGAAAACAGCAATTGGTAAATGTGCATTCTTGATTGCTATGTAGGTAGTTCTTTGTATGTATATTTTTTCGGTTGATCATTTTATACATATACTTCATACCCTTGCAGCCTGAGCTATAGTTACTACTGTGTTCAATTTTTTTCTTTGGTGCTATTTAGTTTGCTTCCAGTACAGTAGTCATTTTCATTGCAAAATGAGTTTTCAGCCGAATTGAAACACGTGTAGGTTTCGGCCTAGCTTTTTTGGGTTCACTTAACGCAAACTAAATAGATTTCTTAAGAAAACACTTAAATCTTTGGGGTTTTATTCCACATTCTATCAATGATGTTTCAGATTTTGCTTCAGAACGGTTTCGTCAATAAACTTTGATTTTTGTAAAATTTTTGTAAGTTTTTGCTATCCAATCGAATTTCATTTCAGCAGGTATTTTTTTCTACGTAGCTGATATGAATCAACATTTCTTCTTCTTTGCATCTAGGTTTTTCTTCAGATATTTTCAAAAAAAAAACATTTTTCTGTTTGTTATCGATTTGTTTCAAGTTTTTGGCTGAAAATGTTCGCCTATTTTCCGTTCACGTTCCATCTGTTTGTCATTAATTTCATCTGATAACATCTAATATGATAATATGTAGTTGTTGTTCCGACCATTTGAAAAATGGGGAGGAACTTGGTATTCGGGTGTTTTAGTTTTTTCTTTTTTTTCAAAATTCGAAATAATTTTTTTTTTCAAAGCTCAAAATTCCCTGTCGAGATATGCCCGTGAGAAATTTTTGATTTTTTGTCTATTTTTGAGCGAGTAAAGCGATCGAGTGGCGTTTGTTATGGATGAAAATTACCAATTTAGGCTGCAAACTGATGTTTACTTACAAAGTATGTTTTTGGATGCTTGTTATAGCACTTCTCTGGCAAAAAAATCTTCCGAAAATATTTTTTGAAAAAACTTAAGCGCATATTCGAAGTTTTAGCGCAAAAAAATTTGAAAAAAATTTAAATGTTTTTTGGAAAAAAATTCATCTTTTTTGAAAACAATTGTAGTCGTTTATGCCTAATTCGCTAATTTTCTACGCGTTTATATAGCTCTATCGTCATACGACGTACAAGAAAAGACACTAACTTGAAAAGAAAAATTTTGAGAATGTGGTCGGAATATTCTGTGCTACTTCCACAGCAACCGGCTATCCTTGTTTTTTTTTTGTTTTACGTGGTGTCTCGAACTTTTTAGTAAACTTTAAAGTAAATCACTATAAATTTCATTCTGTACTATTTTTTTGATTTTGTGATTTGTTTCGAATATTTTGAACTAAATTTCAAATTTAATCAAGTTTTTTGAAAAGTGTTTCTCGGTTGTCTTGTTACCTCATTTTCGTATCACAAGTGATGCCCCAATCCCCCCCCCCCCCCCCGCTTCTTCTCTGTGTAAATATTATTAGTTAAGATAGAAATAGGGACTATAAAAGCACTTCTCCGTCTTTCTCAGGACTTTGAACCAGTCACACTATGCAGCTTTACGTTTGATGCTAATTTATAATTATCCAAAAATAACCAAAAAAAATAACATGTTGTTCTTAAACAGGGGTACAACAGCGGTTCGCCGTGATGAGCTGTACAGCTCTTGTGTTGGTCCTTTCCCCCATGGATAAATGGTCTCTTTATGACATCTTTATACTCACTTCACCAACACTTATATTTTTAAGAGGGCTGGGGTTATGCGCCCGTTTTCGTAAAGGGATTCGAGCCCTCCAAGATGCTTGACTTTTCAAATTTGTTTCGCCAAAACTATTTTTGGCTGTTGATCATATCTAACATTTTCTAAAGGCGCCTTTAGCACCAATATTTACTAGCTTTGATCGGAAAGCGCGCGCTAAAAAACATAACTGAAGCGTCGAAACCTTTAAAAAAGCATCAAACGTCATTTTCGACACTTTTTGTGTCGAAACCAAGCTTGTGGTATCGAAAATTTTGTAAATTTTTGTGTGTGTGTGTGTGTGTGTGTGTGTGTGTGTTCGGGGAGAGCCTAGAATACGAAATTGTCGACCTAACAAAAGTCGGCCAATCCGTTCGGTTCCTTCGAAAGAATCCCAGATCCGCCGCTGCAGATGACTAATATCAATTGTTTTAGAATACGTGTTCGTTGCTTGTATGACTCCTAGGTTCTATCCCTGGTTCTAAATATCTTTTTAAAAACTATCAAACCTGCATAAGTTATCAGGAACGAGAGCTCAAGTTGTCTTGCATTTTTATGAGGAGATCGGTATTAACTTTTTGTGCTTTTAAACTTAATTTCATTATTAACCATTGCCTTCAAACTAGGAGCAAAACGAGTTCAAATTCATCCGAGCCAAAACGATGTTCGATCTTCCCAATGTAAGTATTTATGGTTCTCCATGGATAAGAAAGCGGCATCTTCATTTCTTCAATGTTCTGTCTTCTCTTGATTTGTCGTCATGTTTGCAATATATTTTCAAGTTTACGTTCTATTTGTGCTTGTGATTGACCATATTTGATTTTCAAACCTTAATTTATTTCAACTTGTGTTATTGTATTTCATTATTTGGGTGCATAATTTATTATTTCTCAGATAATTAATTTATTATTTTTCTACTTTTTTTCTGCTTTTTTGTACAAGAATGAAGAGAAAAATGCGCGGAATACTCAGGCGAGATATGGAGCAATAAAACAAGTCTACGAATCCGAAATAGCTCTCAGACCCCAAAGAAATCACGGAAGGTCGGAAACATTCCGAAGACTACACGACAAGTCGTACATGTCTTCGTCGACGACTCAAATGACGTCTTTCCGAGAGGCGAGTCGGATTAGGTACAGTCGGCCGGAAGGGGCAGGGGGTAGTAAAGATTCGGATGATATTGGGAAGAGGCGACCAAGTTTGTTCAACCATCTACCACCATTGACCGCTCCAAAAGTAAGTCTTCCTTGCTATTGTTTTCAATTGAAGTTACAGCACACATATGCTCACCTAAGAAATTTATTTCGAATTAAGACACAAATTTTTTTCTATTGATTCTTTCATTTTTGCAATTATATAACAGTGGATTGTGTGTGCTTTTTGGTGACAGTTTTATTGATGCTTCGAAACTTTTCAGAGTTCAGTGAGTGATTTTCCACGAATCCTTGAATCAGGGCCATACACGCATGCGAGACCCCTCAAGGAACAGAGACACTACCGCTCTGTCAGGTGAGTCACATCGCCATCAATTCCATAACGGTCCATGACTATCAAAAGCGAAAAAAGCGAAAAACAAAAAATCTATATTTAAAACAAGCTCAAGTGTTTTTGTTTTTCTTGAGAGCCGAATTTTGAAATATTTTATTGGAATGCATGTAAATTGAAAACTCCTGAAAAAAAAAACACTTTCCAAGTCTGAGGAAAAAAACGGCTCTTTTCCTGTCCCCCATCTGATTTCCTATGAAATTCGAATTAAAGTCCATTTAAAATTACTTTTCATACAAATTTATGAGCAATTTTTTAAAAATAATAAATTTTGTGAAAATACAAGGGGTTGAAAACGAAAAAAAAAATCCGAAAAAGCGAAAAAAAAAAATATAGTATTTAATTCTTTTGCTTTTTCGGATCTCTTTTTTTTTTCATTCTGACCCCATGGTAAAAAAAATATTACAAAAATAATTATCTCAGAATTGTTCATAAGTTTATGTGACTGTTGTTGTTTTAGTGACTCAATCGGCAACAATTTTTCCCCCTATGCCAAAGATCTAAGTGTGCTGAAGATGCAGGAGAAAATAAGTGTCAACAGACCAAGTAAGTCATGTTAAGATTGCATCGAACAAATTCTCCAAATCAATTTCAAACACTGATTTTCAAACCAATTTTCAACCATTGATTTTCAAACCAAATTCAAACTAATAACTGATTTTTCAAGTCAATTTCAATCCTTGATTTTTGAATCAATTGCAAAATTCAACCACTTGTTGAACCATTGAATGCTTGTTCCAATTGACAAGTGTGATCTCTTTCCCAAAACAGCCCCCGCGTTATAACCAATCGAGAGCCCCCCTCCCCCCAAACACAAAGAAACACAAAGGCGGTGGTTTTGGTGGGTTGAAGAATACTTCTTTCTAGTACGTTGGAAGGCTAGGGATTTATAGCTACATATAAAATAGATTCAAATAAATTTTATCTTGATAAAACTCAGTAGATAGAAGGTTTGTTAATGATTTGAACTTTTTCAGGTCCGAGTTTGATTCAGTTGCGCATTGATCTATATCGGAGGTGAGTTTACTGTTTTTAACTTTAAACTCCAAAACCAGACTTTCTTTGAATATATTTTGCACAGAAAAAAAATGATACAAAAAGTATCAACGTTTCTTAGCGTAATCTTTCGTTTTATGAAACCTTTTTTTTTACTCGTATGGATCAAGTCCCGTATTTGTTTTTATAGGAACAAAGAAAACATAAAAGGCAAGGAACTGCCGGCTGTTTTCTCCATCTCCCCACCTAACAAGGGCCAGGAGAGGTTCGGCAGCAAGAGTCCAATTCTGCCGCCCATTTCGGGGGAAGACGGCAGACCCAGCAGCTCCACTGACCATCTGCCCCACGTTGACTCTTTGCCTCTTCAGTCAATAGTTGAAGCAACCAATCAGAGAAAGGTGAAGATTTACAAGACGCAGGAGTCGGACAAGCGAGAAGTCACTTTTGCAGGTTAGATTTATAGTTAAAAGAGAATAGAATTAGTTTTAAAGATATGTTGACAAATTTTTTGATAAAAATTGTCAACTTCGTCTAGAAACAATAATGATAAGACATGAAACCTTAGAAATTACAATGAAGAGAGTCATCAGGAGAGTTAAAGAGAGTTGTAATTATGTTCGCCTTTGTGTTTACACAATCGTGCTAGCGAACGTAGTATTATATTACAAATCTACTTTTTCCAACACAACTTGAAATAAAAAGTGTTCTTTCGGTGGAACTTTTGCTTCAATTCATCGCATTGGCAATTTAATGACATCTATAGGATCATTTTGCTGGCTAGTGGTAAATAGTTTTCAAGTGACTGTCGCGCAAAAATGAGGACGTACTATTTAGGTCTGAGGTTTTACTCTGACCCATAGCATTAAAATCCAATTTATATCAATTATACTTGAATTTGATAGATTTTTACAGGTTTTTTTTCCAAATCTTAATCACATATTGACAATCAGGGGCGGATCTATGGTTTTCTCAAAAACAGTCCAAAAAAGAAGTTTTTAGGTAATTTTTGGAAACTTTTGACCAAAAAGTCGCATTTTTTCGGCGCGCGCTCCCCCCTCAAAATTAGTATATATTTACGCCGAAGGCGCCTTTAGAAAAGTTTTAGGGTCGGTCGGCCAAAAATGGATTTCTTACAAAGTACCAAAGGGGGGATCCTTTGGGTCGGCAGAGGGTCGAATCCCTGAGGAAAGGGCGTCCCCCCCCCCTCAAAACCGCCCCTGTTGACAATCACGTTTCAGTAAATTCAAACTTCACTGTTGCTTCTGCTAAACAGATTTTTTGAAATATTTAAAATGAATCTCACATTTGCTAGAAAACTGTTATCTTGTTTTCTATTTTATCTCTTCATGATTTTTCCTTATTTTCTTACACATTTTTTTGCCTTAAATTTTGATGCCTTATATTTAGTTTTTGCCTTTAGTTCTGTACGTACCTCCCCCGTACGTAACCTTTGAGTAACTTTACTTATAAAACGCATTTTTTGGGAGATTTTTCTTAGCGCTGAGAAAATTTTAATGTTCTTGTGGGATGTACATATGTGATAAAAAAAAGAGGAGATTTAGGTTCGGTGAAGGTTTTAGTTTTGAAAAATGCGTGATATTTTAGTGCTGTATATTTAACTTCGAACGTCGAGCTCAAGTATGAGAAGAGTGTGCTGTTAATTTGTAATGGATATCGTTTTTACAAAAAGAAAGAAATGAAAGAAGGTTTGGAAATCGAGTAGGCCGTGAGTAAGGCAGAAAATTCTGCGAATTCTATAATTAATTGCAACAAATTTATGCAGATTATAATCCATTAGAACTGACGTCAATGGATTACAATCGACTTGAAATTAAAAAAATAATAATGGATTATAATCACTTGCATGGTCCCAAAGTAAAAATTATAATCGATTATAGTGGCAAAATTGATTATTTCGCCACAAAATTTGATTATAATCTATCTTTTTCAATAGAATCTCAGCGTTGTGATAGCATGTTGCGATGCAGACTGGGGGCCGTTTTTATTTATCCCGTCCTATTTTTGGAAAAACATTCCACCGATTACACTTGTACCCGCCATTTTTTTAGTTTATTTCAAACCTTTTTTTTGGGTATTTGATTTTTTCAAGCGTCATTTTTTTCACGTGAAATTAATAATTTTTGACAACTATTTTTTTTGGCAGAGGATAACTTTTAAAATATAGCTAATGTTTTTGAGATATTTTTGGGGATACTTTTTTGGTCCGCTAAATTGGTTTAGTTTTGCAGAATATCTGTGGAATTCTGCGATTTAGAATTTGAGGTTTTTTATGCGGTAATTATGAAGGATTCAGCGCCGTATATTCATGCCAAGTCAGATAGCCTCCGATGGCGCTTTATTCGTGGACGCCTGCGTCAGTATATTTCTAGGCTACCGAGGCGCAGATGCGAGGACGTGAGGCTCCTAGTCTCCAAGTCGGTGGTTCCCTTATGACGCAATTTTTTTTTCTAAGAGTAATGAACGTAGTGAGTACTCTTATATAAGTCTTGCTGATTTTTTTTTGTTTTGTTTCAGGAAAAAGTCTTAAAGTTTGTTCACGCTCAATTTGGATTTTTCATGGCTTGACTTTTGACTTTTTTTTCAAATTCAGTGCATTTCTATTGTTAAAAAGAAGGCAAACTCCACTATCGAACAGAAAAAGAGTAATGGCCACGAGAAACGTGATCGATTTCTTATTTCGAAAATGGAAAATACTAATTAACAGATTTCTCAGCGAAATAAAAATTTTGCCTGCTGATCCAGTTTTTTCAAAGTGAGTTAAATTTAACTAAAAAGTGTCCACCATGAATTGTTCTACAAATTCAAAAAGCTTTAGGGCATCTATTTTTTTCTTCGAAATTCAAAAGTTGAAGGTTGAAGGTTTTTGAAAAAAAAACGAATCAGTTTTTTTCCAGTTTCCTTGCGTTCATTTACTCTTTTCGGGTCTTATGCGTTAAACGGCCCAAAAATCAAAATTGAAGCAAAATGAAAACTAGCCAATCAAATTCGAGCAACTAGGTAAGCCATTTCGATTGATACTGAGATTAATCCTGATTTGCTCGTATAATATGTAATAACTGAAGTGATTGTATGTTGATTACGTGTTTTGACGCAGTACAACAGTGCCGAAATACAACAGTGCCAAAAATGAAAACTTTGTTCAACAGTGCCGAAAATGAAAATTTTGTTCAACAAATATGAACAATATGAACAAATTTCCACATATTAAGCGCCGCAATCAAAAAATAAACGGCGAACGTTTACAATCTTAAGTGGCCCCCCGTGTTTTCAATTTAATATAAAATTTCTGACTATTTTCCTAATTTTGGGCCGTATAGTGCATAAGACCCCTCTTTTCCAACTGTCAGTTGGCTATGTTTTCTTATTTCAACTTTTATTTCTTATTTCAAACATAATTTTTTAGAGCTACCGTTTGCCGGTATGTCGCTTCTGTTTGTGTGTTATTTTCGTTATGACAATTGATGCAGGCGTGCCAGCTTTTTATGGAACCAAAAAGAAATGGAAAGAAATTCCATCGTTTGTATTTAAACTTAAAAGATGTGGCACATGTAATTTTCGACCACCTAGAGACAGTCTGGACACATTTTTCCTAGTGCTGGACAATGTAGAAGTAGTGATTCTACTGTAAAACATGCTACAGTAACCTGGCGTAAGATTGATTCCTCAGTAAGCTAAGTAGCAGAGTAAGCAATTGTTTAACTTGCAAAATCAACCAAAACAAACAGAGACTAAGCAAGATTTTAAAACAGTACCGATTTTGCAAACCCCCCACAAATGGAAGCTACCGGGGCTAGCTTTACGAAACTCATAAGACGGATACTAGAGATGATTTGACCCGGGCATGCAAAAGTACAGACCCTTCGGACCCCCCCCCCCCGGCCTCAAGTGATAATGGTTGACGGAAGTGCAAATCGCCCTATCAGAACTCGGTAACTAGTGGTTGGAATGATCTCAAATTCTAGTATATTGTAGGCCTAGTTGCGGGAAGCTTAAGTTTGGAACGCCAGACCCCTAAGACCTCCACTTCCGGTTTTATGCCCAAAGTAAACAAACCCACCCGTAACTTCCGGAAGTCCTTTCTCGACCTCCAATGAATGCAGGGAGCTGAAACTTGGACGGATGATAGGTAGTGGCAAGATACATCTTGTATTATAATTTGAACCAAATCCGGCGGTTAGGCCGGAAGCTATTAGCACTTGAAAAAACACCCCCTTGGACCGGAAATATGCAATTTACGGGAAATGAAGAACGGTAGCAAAATGATTTTATTGCGGCAATTGACATAAGATACGAATTCGGAAAAAAGACCTTCTTGTAAGTGAAGGTGATCTATCCAGAAGCCGCTCGGGACACAGTTTTACATTGCAACCTTGGAGTAGTGGAAATAATTCAAAGTGGACTTGGTAAACATTGGATTCAGTTTAGCTTGGCGAGTGATCTATTAATAGCATTTCAACTAGACTAAAGAGAAGTAGTCCCACAGGAAATTAATAGTAATAGAACCGTAGCATTAGAATTAAGTCTCCTAAATTGTATGAACGGACGGGGATTTTTCTTGGCTTCCCGGAGGTGACTTTTTGGTTTGATTTGACCCCTAACAGACGAAATACCTTAACTGATAGCTAGAAGGTCGTGATTGGAATAGAGTACAGATAGAAGTTTTAGATGCCTGAAATGAATTAGCTACCCATAAAAAGGGTCTCCCCCTACCCTTAGGAAGTCGGAACGTTAACGGGATATTTAAAATAAAGATTTTGGGAGGATCACTGGGTAAACATAGCATGGTTTTAGAGGTTAGTTAAACTCGAGGGCTGAAGTCACAGAGGTCAGGAATTAGTTGACTAGAATCGTATGACATTTGTTTGCTTAGTCACATTGTGACAGCTACTGCATACCGGGTAACTAATAAGCGTGAAAAAATTGATAAAAGAAACCGAAGTTCGCACGTGGCAGAAGTGACAGGGGGATATAGCCTTAAAACATGTGCGGACGGGTGATTTAAGCGGATGTCAGGACTGATAGGGAATGGCGTGATTTAACTTAAACTAAGTGTAAAGGAAGATAAGGAATTGGAGGGTACCGTAGAGCCTGTAAGAGTCAGAACAGTGTTAGCAACTATTAAGAGTAGTTGGTTCTCATCAGAGAAGAGAAGAATTATTGCTAGCGAATCGAGTAGTTGGTTCTCGAAGTAAAAGAACAAGTGACAGAAATAGTAGATAGTTGCTTCTCGTCAGAGATTCTTTAGAGAGAGAGAGAGTAGTTCAGTTTTAGTGGAGTTAGCTGGAAGTTAATTGCAATAAGGCAATTTATGCTAATAAATTGCACACCCTTTCCTTTTGATTTGATTATTAGATTATAACCTGGCCACTCGGAGCCCTCTGTAATCAGACATATAATGATCTGAATTAAATTACAATTAGAAACTCTTGCGATTTTATCGAGTAGACAAGACAGCCGGAAGAGCAATACGCAAAATGGCCAAGCAACAGAGAGCAATACAGGATTTTTGCCACCAAATCAACCCTTTGGTGCTTGTAGAAAAAAGTGAATCTCGGTCGCCCCGCTGAGTTCACTGCCAGAGGGACAGCTTGCGAAAAAATCCCCTAATTCTACAGACAAAGCCGTTTTTATTTTTGAAAATAATTGGCAAATAGTTGAAGAAAAAAACAAAATTCAAAATTTTCAATTTTAAGACGTAAAGAAAAGAACACCATAAAATCGTTCGACAAAAAAACCGTGGGCTCCTTTCCACTCCCCTGCCTTTTTTCTGAAAAAAAAAACACTTTAACAGGGCTATAATGCTATGAAACTTAGAATGGTGAACAAGCTAGCAATTGTGAACAGATGTGTTTTAATATTTTACATCGTAACATTACACGTTCAGTCATAAGACAACAATAAAAGTAGAACATTTGAATGGTGGGTGAAACGTGGAAAAGAGTCAAAACTTATCAGTTATACGGATAAATTCTTTATCAGGTCGTTTTTGTAAAATTTAAATTTGAAATTACTTTTTTTTCTACAGGCACAGACAGTGTGCAACTGGTTACAATCCAAGCAAAGCCCAAGCCTGGTATCCATCGGGAGTACGACCAGTTCACCCTCGCCTGTCTCGCCATCCAGTTCCCCAGTGCAGAGACCAAGACAGAGGGGATACCCAAAGTCTCAGTGCCCCATCCTGACATGGAGGAGAGGTAACAAAATAGGAGAGGGGGGGGGGGGGTGCTAAGCCCTTTACATATTAATATTTGTCCCTTATATTTATCAAAGCTGATTTTGGAGAGTTCATAATTGATGTATTGTTTCGAGATTATTCGATGCTCAAATCATCAATAATTAGAAAACAGCAGAGGTCACATTTTTTTTTAGAAAAGAAAATATTCGGTTTTGGTTTTTCAAGTAACAAAGCAGTAAGAATGCCAACATGAGCATCTGATTTCCAGATACTTCCACCTGGTTCAGAGTACCATCGAGGACTCGGAGATCGCACCTCTGGACTCCTCGTGGGTGGTGGCCATATTCCGCTTCGTGCCCCGACCTCTCTGTCTTCAGTTCCCAGACAAGTTGAAAGAGTTCACGTACGAAGTGAACAGACAGTACCTGACGAGTGTGAAAAGAAGTATCATAGACTATGTGCTGTTGGATTTCGAGGAACAAAAAAGACTGGGAGTTGAGATTCTCTTTGAGGCAAGTTTTGTTATTTGAAAACAGATTATTCAAAAAAATTATGTAAAAATAATGTTTACGACGATGTTCCCATTTGTTCCCGCAAAATATTCATTTAAGTCATTGGATCAGAAAATTTGTTTTAAATGTCCTCTTTTTATGTTGTTAACTTGTGTATTTTGTGTAAAAGTCCGCTATTTTAGTTTATCGGAGTTCTTTCTTTGTCATAAATTACTTCGAATGGGAAAGAAGTTTGATTATGCGTTTTTTTCTGATTAAATCAGGTGCAACAACAAAAGGCCGTGAAAGATAATATTATAGCCCTTTCGGTTGTGATTCCAACAGTAAAAAGCATACATACTTTTGTTTTAAAATTGCAATGGTTGTTGGCAGTTGACGATTCATTTGGACCGGTACCTTTTTGGGGGGTTGACCTGATCCAATTTTCGTTTTTTTTTTTGATAAAAATGATTTGTGTTTCGTTGATCTTAGGAGGACGAGAGTGCAGGTCGTTTCTTCTTTCCTTGGCATAACAGCGTGCGAAAGACCAAGTTGTGGATGGAAAAGGAGCTCTACATCACACACCCTGTGGCCAGGGTCATCTTGGACCTGTGGGAGACAAAGTTAGACTTCTCTTTGGGTTGAAGATTTACCTTACAGCATAAAACTGTCATTTGTGTGACATGTTTTTTTTTCTCAAACCACTCCGTATTTTCTTCTTCAAAAACTTTTTTTAACGCATTTTTCTACTCAAAAGAGTGATATCTATTAAGGGCTATTGGAAGGCTTACAGTTTTTTTGACAGAATATATACAATGTAGATTTAAAAACTTAACACTTCTGTGAAAAATTTTTCCAAAGATCGCTTAAAATTTTTGTATAACTATTCTTAAAGGTTATTATTTGAACTAATTAAAGGAATTTGGCTGACCGACCCGAAAGAATTTTTCAAAGGTAGAATTGGTCAAAACATTCGGCCGACTAAAAAGTCGACAAGAATTTTAAAGTACTCTTGAAAGTTATCTTTACCTGCGTGACGCTATTTTTTTTTTTGGAGGTGCCATGCTGCGCGTCAAATCTCTTGCTTTTTTGCATAACTCCCACGCCGAATTTCACTGTAAACTAACAATTTATTAACCAATGTATGATTATAAGTATCTGACTTGAAAAATAATTGTTTTTAGAGGCTAGATCTATTCCTGAATAAGATAGATATGCCGTAGCCGTAAACAGCTGAGTATCTCGTATTTTGGTGCTTTTTAAAAAAAGTCAAATAAATGATGTAACTGAATTGAAAAATCAAATGTAGGTTTTCTGGTCTGCGACTGATAGATGTGAACAAGTTGTCTGAGTTGATGCCTCTGAACATCACAGTGCTGAAGACGGAGGTGGAGAAGAGTATCATTGAGGCGAGGAGAGTCCTTCAAAGAGACTGGCTTCCCAAGGTGTCCGAACTCATATCCGGAATGAGGGAGGAGGTCGAGAAGTGGATGTCCAGCGATAAGGTTAAAACAACATGAAAAAGGATCAGTTTCAGGTTTCAAAACATTTACCCACTGAAGATAAAATATCTAATCGGGAATAAAGGACAATCTATACAAGAATTTGCAAAATTTGTGTTGAATTCTTTCAAAAGGCATTTTTTAGCTTTTTTCTGAGTTTTTTTCAGATTCTTGCAGCAGATCTTGCATGATACTCAATCAACCTGAGTTTTCAAAAAAATGGCAATTGGAAAGTTATTACTAATAACAGTACCGCTGTGAGCAGTAGTGGATTTAGGGGGGCGCGGGCGCACGCCTCCCTTTCCCTCACGAATTCGATCCTCTGCTGACCCAAAGGGTCCCCCCTTTGTACTATTTCGACATATCCACTTTTGGATGACTGACCTTAAATTTGTTCTAAGAGCGAGTACTTTCGGCGCCAATATAGACTAGTTCTGAGGGGGGAGCGCGAGCAGAAAAAAACGCAATTTTTTGGTCGAAATTTTCAAAAAAAAGCCCAAAAACGCCTTTTTTGGCCTGTTTTTTTAAAAAATTTGCATGCGGCCTAGAAAATTTGATCAATATAGGGTCTTTATAATGATTGAAGGAGCACAAAAAATCAATTTGGTCGACTTAAAAAAAGTCAAGAAAAATTTCCGAAATTTTTGGAAAATCTGCCCCCTTGAGAAATTCCTCCTAGATCCGCGCCTGGTTGTGAGCAATGGCCAATTTTGAGAACCGCGTGAATAGTACTAAGAAAAAACAGAAAATGTATCCGTCCACGTTTGTTTTTATTTATCGCTTTTACACGACATCTTTTTTTCAGGAGCAGACATCTTTTTTTTCAGGAGCAGAGATGCCGCCAGATGGAGCACTTCTTCTGCTCAGTGGCTTCTCTCCTCTCCTCCCAACTGAGGTCTGTAATCTTCAAGACCATGGAGGACCTCCTTAACCTCCTAGAGGGATTCAGTGATGGCAACGAGTACGAGGGCGAGTATGAGACAAGTAACATGCGGTACAAAAACCTGCATCCACCACTCCTCATTTCAATGGTAAGTTGGAAAAAATCCGCAAAGGCAAAAATAACTAAAACAGAGCAATTGACCAATTTTTTGGCAAACAGGGCAATTTTTGGTATCACCAGATTTCTCATCAGACAGGATTGATTTTGGAAGTTTGTGTGATCCAAACTTTTAAAAATCCTTTTAGAAGAAACCGAATACAGACTTACAATTAAAATCATTCATTTATTGTTATTTAGGCCAATTAAATTGCTCTTTTTGACGTTGGAAGTATAATTTTTTGGTCATTTCAACACATATGCTAGCGTCAAAAGATTGAATTAGCAAAAAAATCTGATAAAATTTTACCGAGTCAATAGTTCAAGGGTACGGTTGTTGTCAACAATTGGCGTACTTTGTAATTCAATTTATTCGTACAGTGCTGTTTTAAATTATCATGACAAAAAGAACCAAAACTTAAAATTTAAAACGCATTTTTCTCAACCCGGGTTGACTTTGGACAATAAATGGTGTGGACAGATTTGTGAACAATTTCAGCTGAATTACTATGGTGCATTTATTTTACAAAACTCTTCTTGTTTTTCCTGGTCCATGATTTCAATTTTTTTTGAGGTCGCAATTTGTTGGGCAACTGAGCTCTTGTAACGAACCTTGATGCCATTATTACTCACTATTTTAAATTTGTGGCATCTTAGTTTAAACTAAACCTTTCCATCTAAATTTTAAAACGAGTTCATTGAAATGGTACATTTATTAGAAGCCCGTATTTTTAAACCTTTCTTTGGTGCCAGGGAAACGGACATTTAAAGAACGTATTGAAACCTTTTACTTGATATTTGTCTGCAAGAAATTGTTTGTTTCTATTTTCATTGGCAAATTAAACGAATTCAATTGCCATTTTTTCTGGAAGTCAATCATTACGAGGCCAAACTGTTCACTGGATAGGCGCACAATTTTGTGTCTGTATGTTCCTGGATTCCAGAGACAGTCTTAGGTAATCAAAGTTAGTTAATTGATTAGCAGACTTATTTAATAACCAAAACGGTTTCAATAGTTTTTTTTACGAATATGATAAGCCAGACTGTTTGATTTGGCTGTGTTGACAATAGAGTCGGGAGGCATTTTTTCGGATGCCTCTTTTCGTTCCAACTCCATCTTTTACACCTATACTTCAGATGAAGTCGATTGATATATCAAATTAAAGCCCTTTCAGCTGTGATGATATCAACTTGTACTCAAAAAGACAGGATCTTGATGAATATTCCTGAACGGAGGCTACACGCCCGGGTTGACCAAAAATGCTCATCATACAGTTCTCATAAATGGAAAATTTCTTTTTATACAATTTCATACAATTCCATACGTACAGAAAATTGTATGAAACTTTATAATAAACATTTTCCCATAAATGGAAATTGTATAATAGGTGTTTTCTCCATAAACCAAAAAGTTGTTTTTTGTTTCTAAATTTATTTTCTGAAAAATTTTGGGTTGTGTTTGCAACCAAATACATGTGACAAAGACCTTGGTTACTCAAAGCACCAAAGGTTGGACGGTCTTTTTTCAAAAAAAAATATTTTAAATTAGTTTTTTTGTCACCAGTCTGTTCAACTGTTCCCAAAAAGCCGCAGAAATGGTTTAATTTTTTTCTATTGTTTTTCGAAAAAGTATGCAAATTGTATGACAAGCATTTTCTCCATACACTGGATGTATGGATTTGTATGATAATGATTTTTGTTGTATGGAATTGTATGATAAGCATTTTTGGTGTATGGAGGTCAACCCGGGCGGTTGGTATCAGTCCAAAGTCAATCTTAAGTGCCAGCCGTTGAGTTAATTTTTTTTTAATAGAAAAGAGCTCTGTTCAAGTTCCCAGAATGGACTATCATTCAGAAGTATTCCAGTCAGAACTAGTTTCAACCTTAAAATGTTACAGCGCTGAGTGTTTAAAAAAACTCGGTGTTTTCTCATTGACAACCATTCAAAAATTAGAGCTAAAAAATGAACAACTGTTTGTTTCAAAATCGTCCAATCAAACGTACACTTTCACGATAATTTGAATTCCAAAGCTCACCGAAAACTCATTGCCTGTATACTTTTTTATGAGCGATATTTAATGGTTTATAGTTTTTCATTATTCTGAATTAACAAGCTTTTCAAAGCTCCAAACGAAAGTTGAGTTCGAAATGAGCGAATCAAGTTCAATTTTGAGCACAAAAACTTACAAAAAAATCAGAAAAACCAACACTTAAAATCAAATTTTGAGCAGGAAATCATGAATTGAAATAGTGTAAGTTATCAAAATAAATCAGATTTTTGGCGCAACATATTTTATATGAAATTTTAGTATATGAAATTTTCGGCACAAAACTATCAAGTAAAGTAAAACCACAAAAGTGAAAAAATAATGAACAATTTCAAAAAACCAGTTATAAAATTTTTATTCAAGAAAATAATTCCATCAAAAAATTGTCGATATAATTTAAATATTTAGAAACGGAACCATTTAGGCCGAATTAAATGTTCAAATGTTTATTAAATAAACAAAGTAAACGCTAGTTGGTTTAACAATTACAGTAATAAATCAAAAACTTTTGCAGCTACAAAGAAAAATGCTTGCAAAGCAAGAAACTCCACGATGTGCATTCAACTTGATATCAGACAAAAGCGGTCAAATTATTATCAGACAAACGATACGCAGACAAATATTTTTCAAATGATAGGCAATTGTGATAACGGATTTTTTTTATAGTGCACTGAACGGAACTTCTAAAGTGTATTGTAACTGCAGTACCTTGTTAGCACTGCAGTGTATTTATATAATTTCAACTTTCAATAATTAAGAATTTGAGCATGCCATTGGAGCACATTGTTGATGATTCAAGAGATTTTTTTAAACTAGTTCTTGCTCCCAAAAAGTCTATGTTCTGATTTGATAGAACTTTCCAAAACAACAGTTTTTTAAAGCATTGTTGCTAGCTTACTTTGAATTTCATTTTTTTCGATGCGGCACTGATTGTTAATCATAGTATTCCAGCGAAGTAAAAAGTCAGAAATTAGAGTTTTAGCAGAATCAACTACCACAAGTAAGAGCCAGATGTGATCCGGTGATGAATCATATTGAAGCTCTTGCAGTCTTGATCCATTCTGAAACATTTTATTATCGTTTATAGCGCAAAAATATGGACGCATCAACATTTATGGACAAGAGTGTATTTACAATTTTTTAATACTCCCGGCTTAAAAAAACGGCTCAAAATTTTTTAAATTGAATAAATTAATACTCCCAACTTTTTTCTCGTTTTTTTCATATATTTTTTTGCACGGGTAAAAACATTTTTTTTTTGCACGAGCAACTCAAATGAGGCTAATTATTGGCTCTTTTTCCTTTTCCCCCACCTGCAAATTTTTACATGTATATTTGTTGACCACATTGTCCGATTGTTATGAAAATTTACATACAGACTAATAATGCCACGGCAAACATATTTGGTCTTCATACTCAACCTCGTAAAACCACTCGTTACACTAATAAGTTGAAACTGGCGTGAGGTGGGGGGGGGGGGGGGGTATGGAAAAAGAGCCTAATTATTGATTGTTAATGATTTGCTAACAACAAGAAACTTCTTTTACAATTTTGCATTCCCCATTTTACGGTACCGAGTAAAGAAGAATGGTTCCTGTAAACAACTAATTCAAATGTTAAGCTTGTGCAATTTTTGTGGAATTCGCTTTCGCAATCCATTTTCGTTAAAGAGATCCGAATTTTTTTGATCTCGCTTATTAGAAGATATACTGAGCGCACAAGTTTTTTAGATTCCGGACGAGGACAACGAGTCGACTAAGTTCAACCCGACTTTTGACGAGACAGTTGAGACTGTGAGCACCCTGCTGGACCACATGATTCTGGCCACTGAGGGACTCATCAGGGTCGAACACAGTCTATTCTACCCTGTCGAGGGACAGGTGAGATATGTTTTTACAGATTAAATAGCTGAATTTAGATTTTTCTAGATAAATCCTCAAAAACTGTTTCAATCTTGTGCGGTTTTTGTAAAAAAAAATCGCATTAAAACCGCTCAAACTTTTGAGAAAAACCGCTCAAAACGCTCAAAACTTGCTCAAACCGCTCGTTTTAAAACAAGTTTTTGAGCGCAATCGTCCAAAAAACCGCTCAAACCGCTCAAATCTTGCTTCAAATTTGGTGAAGTATCTCGACTCGTGAAAATAATACTTAGCTAAAGGGTGAGTTATAAAAAAAATCGTCAAGCTTACTTGAACTGTTTGAAAACAATAAACTTCAACCTGCGGTAGAGGTGGCTAAGTTGCCAAGTCTCCTTCTATTAACCAAAAATTCGGTCGGGGTGCTTAGAAGCCCGACATGATTCGCGCTTGTTGCTTGAGGTTGAAGCAAAATTACCCAGCCCAGACAAATAACCAAAAAGTTCGGATGTAATTCTTAACCAGTGGCACAGCAGCGGTTTTCCTTGAAGAGCCGGACGAATGTTTGCTTTTTTCCTGGTGAACAAATGGTCTTGACTTGTTTTTTCAGGGCCAGAGATTTCTGCCGACGGTGAACGTGGAAGAGGATGCTGTAGTCGAGGCTAAAGAAAGAATCGGGCAGATTGTTAAACTGAACGAGCCCGGACCCATCAAGTGAGATTATTTTACCCCAATTGAAACCAAAACGAGTTGAGATAATCTTACCCGAATTGAACCCAAACCTGGTTGAGATAATTTTACCCCAACTGAACCCAAATTGACAGTTGTGCCAGGTTCTAACAGGCAAAAACTGATTTTGAATCTCTTTAACTATATCCAATACCCCCCCCCCCCCCCCCCCCCCCCAATGCAAAAGGGTGAAATTCGTTACGAGGTATAAAATTCTCATATGCATAACCGTTGATTTATTTTTATAGGGGGGATATTCATTACTAGGTTACCGAGGCGGGATATAGTTAAAGAGATCCTTGAATTGTAGTTGGACGGTTTTCCCTATGAGGTTTAAAACTGAAAGGAAAATATTTTCAGAAATCGCAGCCGTCTTTTAACTTTGTTCTAGCGAGTTAACTTATAGGAGTGCTGCTCGAAAGGTTTATTCAAGGATCTCTTTAACTATATCCCCCCTCGGGTACCTAGTAACGAAAATCCCCCTCGGATACCTAGTAACGAATATCCCCCTATGAAGAAATAAATCACAGTTATGCATATGAAAATTTTACCTAGTAATGAATATCATCCTTTTGGTAAAGATATAGCGTTGCTGATATAATATTTTAAATTTTGTAAGATCAAATTTTAGGACTCTTCTAAAAATTATGCTAATTACTTAAATCCTTCTCAACAGCTTTGCGTAAGTCGATTTGCGATGCATTTTTCAGTGTGTCATCATTGCCTTGAAGATTGTTCTCGCTGGTGTTCGTCGATTTGTTGCATATTTCGAACTCAAGTTTTTTTTTCAAGATTTCGGCAAGAGTAAGTTAATCGGGTCAAACATTATAAACAATAATTGTCTATCTGACTGAGAAATAGATTGAATTAATTCTCTTGTTGTTTCATTTCTGACTGATATAATATTCTAACTCTTCTGAGAAATAATTTTTGTAATGAATTGGACGTTTTGTAGTTTTAATCATAATGATAGTTTGATACTAATGAGTTTTCTAATGAATTGGAGAATATTGAAATCTCAATCATAAAAAAGTTTGAAACTTCAATCACAATGAAATTTTCCGAAAAGAATTTAATGAAAAAATAACCCAAATTTGAAATTGCAAAATTAACAACCCGTACCCAGTAAATGTTCTAATTGAGATCTAAAATTCAGATCTGAAATAGTTTGCGAAGTGTTAAAATATGAATGTTAAGTGTTTGTATACTTTAAGTGTTTGTATACTTTAAGGGTGATTTTATACTATTTTTTTGGTTATTTCAGATCTGAAAAAATCTACTTCAGATCTTACTTGAGATATAAATTTTAATTAATATCAGATCAGAAAAATCAAGGATTCTGACAGAATTTTTGCTATTTTTCTGTATTTTATAGCTTCTGATAGCTGCTAGATGGTACTCATCAAAGTCTACATGTAGAAATTGCTACAATAGGCTTCCCAAAGTATGAGATAAACATCAGAAGCCCATCAGCAGCGCATGAAAATTAAAAGTTTGACAGGTGTTCTAACAACTTTGAAACTTTTTAAAACAGTTGAACAAGAAGTTTACTTTGCAAAAAAAACCTGTTTGGGTAATTATTTTAAAACTTTTGTACCGGTTTTTATTGTAATTTTAATTTCGTATTGAATAAACAGCAAAAACTGAAAACTCAATTTTTTGCTCGAAATGCATATAATATAATTTAACAAAGAGTTTCTCGAATATAATTTCAGATCTGAAATTTTGTTTTTCAATGTTATTTCAGATCTAAAAATTTCTATTTCAGTTTCAAATTTCAGATCTGAAATTCTCAATTTCTCAACAAGAACTGAAATAACGAGTTTCAGATCTGACAATCAACTTATGGTTAGTGAAGAAGAGTGATTTTTTAAAATTAAAACTCAAAATCTTTGCTTTAAATCAAATTTTAAAATATTTGCGCAAAATTTTAGATAATTAACAAAGTTAGAGGTATTTTGTGATATAGTTTTCTCATCAATTAAGAAAATAATTTCAGCATAATTAGTGATTTATTAATAAAACTAAAACGAACCATTTTTGGGTTAAATTTTTGGTTGAGAATTTCACAGAAAACATTTTATTAATTCTGGTGAAATTCTAAACAACTTTAGTTCTCTTCACTTTTTGTCCAATCTTAACCCAATGTGAGAAAAACTTCTTTGAAATTTAAAATTTTGTTTCTTTTGTCCAGTTATTTTAAAATCAGCACTGTAGACTTCGTACGAAAAGAAAAACTCAAAAGTTTTTGCCAAATTCTCGCGACAGGTAAGAATCTTGGATTACTTTGCATACCAGTACATCCTTGAGTAAATGCATTAAAAAAAATTTCTTCTAGATTTTGAAACTTTTTGTGCGTTTGAATAGATTCCGTGAGGTGTATGAGAGGTTCAAGTACTTGCTGGCCAAAGACACTGACGGAAAGGTTCAGAGGTTCATCAAGAGAGATCCGACTTTGAGTGGGTATGTGAAGGAGATAGATGGTCTCAAGAGTATGGCCAACAAGGCCATGAGTTCGTTCGTGTCTGTGCCTATGGGTCTCTTTCTAGTCGACTGCACAGAAATAAACGAGGTGAGTAGTCGACTGCACAGAAATAAACGAGATGAGTAGTTGACTGCACAGAAATAAACAAGATGAGTAGTCGACTGCACAGAAATAAACGAGATGAGTAGTCGACTGCACAGAAATAAACGAGATGAGTTTCAATGCGTGTAATTGACTTAAATAAAAAAATTATATTACGATGCGCTTATAACTGCATTGAAATAAAGTAGTTGAGTTGACCTTGATATCTAAGTTAACTGAAGTTAACGGCGTGTAGTAAAATTAAGGCCAAATTGGTGACAATATCAGTGACCTTGAGCTGCTTAATCGATCCTGGAACAGCAAATTAGACTGAATAGATTTTATGAAAGTCTTATTAATCTGTTGAAATAATTTTAAAATGGGTTTCGTAAAACTATATCAGGGTTTCGTAACACTATAGTTGGAACTTAAACTGGACGTTACTTAGCCCTGTTTAGCTTTTCTGAGGTATCGTTTAATTCAGTTTCAGAATGCCCTTTCAGGTAACCTTCGGACTTGACCTTGTTTGATTGACCTTTAAACCAAATGCTCCAACACTGTTGATGTTTTCAGTGGCTGGTGTCACGTGCGAATCAGCTGATTGCTAAGATGGTGGACACTGTGGCGGAGACCAACAGACAGGTGAATAGAGACATCTGCCACAAGTTCGACCAGATTGTGGAGAAAGTGACGGCTGTCAAGACCACCACCAGGGATCTGGTCGCACAGCAGGACTACTGCGAACAGCTCAGGATCCGAGACCTGGTCATACTCTCGGTCAGTTCCAACAGTACTTCGCAACCATTTTTATTATCGTGAAACAAAATATTTATTGCACAGGACTGTACCTTTAATTTTCTAAATATTAGAAGTGAGAAGCAAACGCAAAATTTATTTGATCGCAAAGTCTTGGTTACAATTTTGAGAGAAGTAACGTGACGATGAAAAAGACATGAAATATCACCAATGAAGATTCCTTGAAAGTATTGTCAATCTTGAGGTGGTTCTCGATTTAAAAAAAAACACAAGCAGGTTAAAGAGTTAATTTCACTATCGAATTTTCAGGCGCATCAGTAAAAACTCAAAGTTAAAAATAACTGGCGAAAGTATGAAGTGAAATAAATGCTTTTATCATAATAACCGTATTGATTTCAGGATGAGCTGGAAGCTTCTGGGTTCAACCTGATGTTTCTGCTGGAACATACTTTCCTGTCCAAAGATGACCTCATTTTGAATGCAACTTCATTCAGCTGGCCAGAACGCATACTGCCCATAGTCCGAAACAGGTGCGAACGGCAAACCGTGAAATTTTCGGTGCATCTTTGTCACGACTTGCACAAAAAGACGAGAAGATGAAACGAAGTCTCCTTTGTTAAAAAAAACGTGCAAAAATCAAACTACCCTCAGTAGTCCGTCATGCTATCAATTTTACGCTTGATTCCCCATTTTTGTTCCTCGGTCAAACAGAGTTAGCTGCCGAAGATTGAGCTATATATTTATGACTCATATTATTGAAAACTGTTTCTTTCATGGAACTTGCAATTGCAGGTTTCGTTGCGTTGTCATAAAGCTCCATGAAAAATTACAGGGATAAAAAATTAGGCTTTGTTGCTTACTGAAATTTCATTTCGCGAAAGTAAAATTAAAACAGCATTAATTTCAAGCTTTTTTCAAGTTTTTCTTATGTAAGATTTGAATAACTTTAAATCTTCCCTAGATAATTGAATTAAATCATTGTATGTATCTGGCGGAAAAAAGTAAACAAAGATACTCGGTTACTGCTCAAGTAGCACAGAATGTTCCGACCAGTCTTAAAAAAATACAATACAAGTTTTTCAAATTGGTGTCGTTTTTTTCGGCATGTTCTCATAAAAAGGCCTAAACGAAAAAACAGAATTTAGGCATATTTGAGCGTCATAGTAAAATAGGTCTATTCGAAAACAGTTTTTGAAGAAAAATTAATAAAAAAAACGAAAAGGAACTTGAAAGTTTGAAAAATTTTCAAAAATTTTTCATTTTTTTTGCAGAAATTTTTTGAATTTTCAAACTTTTGATTCTCAAAATTGCGTTAAAAAACTCCAAAAACTACCTTAAATAGAGTAAAACTAAGTTTTCACTGCTTAAATTAAGCTAAAATAATCTATTGCAAAAGCCTGCACGGTCACCTTATTAGCTCGAAATTAGACCAAAAATCAAAAATTTCAGACCTTTTTTTCAACACTGACAATTTTTTTAATGTCGTTCGAATCAAAATTGAAAGGGCTTTAAAATGATGTATCACTCGACCCATTCCGATGATTATTTCTGGTACCTGATTTTGCGTGGAAAACAAAAAAAAACTGAAACACACCCGAGCACAAAGTTCCTCCCCATTTTCAATGGCCGGAACAATAAAATGTCAAAAACACGAAAGGTCTGCTAAATGAGTTGGTAGCCCTCTTTCTGCTTAGTGAGCTGCGCATAATGAAGGAGAGAGATGCTGCTCTGGATAAACTGCGTTCGCAGCAGAAAGACTTCACAGCCCGGTTGAATGCCACTCTGCAGCAAGTGAAGGACTTCCGGTCCAAGGAGAGGATGGGAGAGGCGGAGAGATACGTGTCCGAACTCCAGCAGATAGACGAAAGCGTGAAACAATACGAGGAAGAGGTATGAACGTTCACCATCTTTTGGGCAAAATTGCGCCGATTTTTTAATTACAAAAAAAATGAAAAAATATTTTTTATCGTTTAATTTTTTTTTGTAATCTCATATCAGCAGAAAAAACCTCTACTTCTAATTAAGCTATATTTTTTAATTGTTTGAGAAGCTGATTTTTTGGAAGTTTGTAGACATTGAGTTTGGCATTTTTCAGTAAAGAGTTAGTGGAGCTGTTAATTTTGTGGTTAACTGAAAAATATTCCTTGCCATTTGAAAACCTTCCAGAAGAATTCACACCTTAAGATCCCACTGGCCACAATGCCAAGCCGAAACAAAGAACAGAAAGTGTCTATTTTGAATTATGTTAACTATTCAGCGAACTTAAAACTGTAATTTTTTCTTGATGTTTTGGAAAAAACATTTAGTCATTTGTAAGACTTGGTATAGACTTCATAAAATGCTCTATAGATACCACAGGGGCGGACGCCCCCCCCCCCCCTCAAGGATTCGAACCTCTGCCGACCCCTGCCTTTCTTTGTACTATTTTGAGATATCCATATTTGGTGACGGACGCAAAACATTTCTAAAGGCGCCTTTGGCGCCAATTGTGAGGGGGGATCGCGCGCCGAAAAAGCGCGATTTTTTGGTCAACATTTTCCAAAACGGCCCAAAAACGCTTTTTGGCCTCTTTTCCACAATTTTGCCTGCGGCACCGAAAAATTGTCCAAACCAGGGTTTTCTTAGTATTTTGGGAGAGCTCGGAAAATCAAACTGGTCGACCTAAAAAAAAAGGTTTTTTGAAAATCCTAGATCCGCCGCTGAGATGAGTTATCTGAAATGAGTTATTACGGTTGTTTCCGAATTGGAAACGTCTCTAAATTGGCCAAGGGTCCAAAGAAGTGTCTAAAGCATAGTTTCTAATTATGCTAATGAACTCGTTTTGGTTGGAAATTTTCAAAATTTCTCTTTTTCTTAATTTCTTTAACGAGAATTGTCCCCTCCACTCACAAATGACGATATCTCAAAGTTACTTGGCAAGATCGTGTCCTAAAAATCTTTTACGAGAAACCCAAAACAAAGAAAAATATTTTTTTTTCGTGGATTCCAAAACGGACAATTTTTTGCTTTCATCTTTTTTCGTAGTGGAATTCACTGCTTGATGCCTTGAACTTAAAAGTTACAATTAATTTTAATTTATTTGAAATATATTTTTTGTTTTGTTTTTATCAGAAAGAGCAGATCAACAAGGAGGAGTTGTTGCTGGAAACTGGGATGCAGACGTCCTATGGCATCATCATGGACATCGTGAACCAGAAGGACCCCTACGAGAGACTGTGGACCACTGCCATGTCCTTCTCCAACTACTACGACAAGTGGATGAACGGACCCATACTCAACGTCAACGCCGAAGTAGTCGACGAAGAGGTATGCATATTCATCGGGGGATTCACTCTTGCCAGAAAGACTGAGGGTTCGAAAACCAAAAACGAATTGATTTTTTTTGTAAAATTTTTCCAAATCAGTTGTTTGATCGAGTATCTGATTGTTTTGACTTTGCTAATAGAAGTTTTTTTCCTTGCTCCAGGTCCAGCAGCTGTGGAAGAACAGCTACCGTCTCACCAAAATCTTCGCCCACCCAGACTTCATTGGTCCGATGAGGGCGGCCGTCTCCATCAAGGGCAGACTGGAAAAGTTCAAGGTCAACATGCCCCTGCTGCAGGCACTTGGAAACCCAGGTCTCAAGGGCAGACATTGGGCACAGATGACCAAAAAGGTAAAACACACTTTACAGAATAGCCGTGACCGAGCGGGGTAAGACAAGCGCCTCTCAACCCGAGGGTAGTAGGTTCGAATCCCACTTCGGTCACGGTTGGATGGGTCCCAGTGTCATCCGCCTCCTCAAGGTGGGACCGGAGCGGCTACGGCGAAAAGTGAAAAACCACAATCAAGAAATGCTGAGGAAATCACAACCTAAAAAGTTTGAGTTGAAATTGCCTTAGGTGACTAGGGCAAGGAAAAGTTAAGGAATAAATTTTGGCTAAAGTCTATCTTAAAAGATCCTAAGATAAATCATTGGCTTAGAAAATAAAGGTAGCTTTAAGTAGGCTCAGATAAATTTCCGAAAAGTTTTAAAAATTAGCTAGGAGTCTTATTTTTATAGTGCAGGGGTATTTGAAGGATCAATAAAATGGAAAATTGTTGTATCATGAAAACGTTGCCACTTGCTTTTTTGTTACAACTGACACAAATTTTCAACCAAATTAGCCCAAATTAGTTCTATGATAAGGCCCTGATTTGGGTTCACTTTAAAACCAAAGATTTGTAGAAGCTGAAAAATATCTATGACACTGATTGTTTTTTTGTCCAAACAAAAAATCTTCAAAATATAAATATGGACTTTTTATTTTAAAAAAAATTGTTTACTGAACGCAAAAAAGTACATTTTTTTTTTATTTTTGGTAAATTAGCTCCTGAATTTTTCAGGTTGGAATTGACTTGGCACCAAAGAAGGACACTCCTCTGAATGAATACCTTCAAATGGGCCTGGAAAAACACCTGGAAGACCTGAACGCAATCAGCTCCCAGGCATCCAAAGAATACGCGGTTGAGAAGGCGCTGGAAAAGATGAAGAAACAGTGGGAGAGCATGGAGTTTGCCTTCACCTCTTACAAGGATACTGGCATTCCCATTTTGAACTCGATAGATGATATCCAAGTGCTGCTTGATGATCATATTGTGAAGAGTGCAACTATGAAGGGATCTCCGTTCATTGGACCATTTGAAGACGAAATCATGCAGTGGGACGTCACTCTTGTAAGATCCATAATGTCATCTAGGGGCGGATTTAGGGTGGGGGCGGGGGGATTCGACCCCATGCCGACCAAAAAGGTCCCCTCTTTGGTACTTTAAAAAAAATCAATTTTTGGCCGACCGACCGTCAAACTTTTCTAAAGGCGCCTTCGGCACCAATATGTTCTAATTTTAAGGGAGATGGTGCGCCAAAAAAAAAACGCGGTTTTTCTCGAAATTTTCCAAAAAAAAATGCTCAAAAAATGTTTTTTTTTTAATCTGCTGTTTCAAAAATTGTCATCAGTTTGTTATCAATTACAAAATTTAAAAGAAACTTCCAGGAAATTCTGAAAAACTAATTTCTGATAAAATTCGAATCTGAATATGTTTTAAAATGTTTGACCCTAACCAAAAAAATGTACGAGGAAAACTTTGATTCATGAGTAACTTTGGTGAAACCTTAAAAAACCTTCAATTTGGATGCAATTTTTCTGAAAATTTTCGAAAAAATAGCAACCGGACTTCACTTTCTCGTATGTTGGTCCTCGTACGTTGGTACTATCCCTCGTGGATAAATGATCTTAATTTTCAAAACACTCGTTCGGTTGTTTTATGAAAAACCTGGAATTCTTGTAACGATATAAGAGTGATTTATTTTTCAGCACCGCATGAAAGGTATTCTTGAGACGTGGCTGAGTGTGCAGAGTAGCTGGCTATATCTGGAACCCATTTTTGGATCAGAGGACATTCGAAGACAAATCCCGCTAGAGGGCGGCCAATTCGAAAACGTTCACAACGCATGGTAAGAATTCTGGTTTTCTTTTCAGCTCTGGCTTTTTTTTCAGCACTTTTTATCACACCACGCCGAAAATAACTACACTAATTTGAAAAAAAAAAAAAAACAATTACGAGGCCAAGCTGTGCACTGGATAGGCTCACAATTTTGTGTCTGTATGTTCCTGAATTCCAGAGACAAGTCTTTAAACATTTTAAATTTGTGTCGGAAAGATCAAAGGAAAAGAAAAATTAAAAGAAGAACAAAGGGAGTGTCCTTGTTGCGGAATCCGCTTATATTTCCAAAAAGCACAGTTTGGCCTCGTAGCGACTTTTTTGTTTTATTTTTTGTACAACTATGGTCGGAACATTCTGAGCACAGCAACCGGCTAACCTTGTCTAACTCTGTTTATGTTTCAAGGGACGGCTGGGAGAAGATCAACAGTGTTTTGTACGTTCTTCAGTTCATTATTTTGATTTCGAATCAGTAGATATCAGCTTAGTCATCTGTAGATTAAAACAATCACGCATATTTTAATTAGTAAGTGTGATGTTTTTTAAGTACATGTTTTGTCAGTCATGAGTTTAATTTTAATGTCTTAACGTTGAATATTGTTCCTTTGACTGTTCCATATCGGCTCTTTTTCTGTACCGACTCCAGATAAAAGTGCTTTGTCTTTTGGATTTGTTTTAACCATATGTAGAAACCATGCTTACTTATGCTATCAGTAGAAATTGTCAAAACCAAGAACTTGAAAGTTTGAATTTCAACATCGATACTAGATGGTTCATGTTTCGTCATTCATTCATTGCGATAAGACCTCTTGCGATAAGTTTTCTTAAATTTGAAAAATGCATGATATTTTTTGTAGGCTCCGTATAATGAGCTCTTCGAAGTTTGACAACTCCGCTCTGAAAGTGTTGGCAATACCCAGGATGCTCGAGGACTTATCTGAAAGCGAGGTAAGAATCAAAATCGGAACTCAACTCTAAATTCATACATGAATCGGATCTTTTAAACTTTCCTTTTATCCATTTATTGCAAAACATCCCCACCCCTCCCCCACTGATGGGGGAGTTAGTAAAAAAGTACAAAGATTATGACTGTATGTTTACTTCGCACATGAGGTTTTTTATGAGGGGTCGTTGATAACTTAGAGATGACAATTAAAGGTATACAAAAATCTATTATTAAAACCAAAATCAAAAATCTATCCATTATTTAGAAATGCCGTTGATCACTCAATGAAGTCAGAACAATGATTTTTTCTAAACTTTAAATGGCGTTATTCCTCGTATGCATTGTCGCCAGAAGCCATATACAACAATTACGCATACTATAAGAAACGAAAGTTAACCAAACCAGTCCAATGGGAATGTGAACTCAAGAGATCAACGATGCAATGCCGAGCCAAAACTTGGAGATCAAAAAGACAGTCAGCACATGAACAATCGCACGGACCCGGTTACCCATTAATGGAAATATATGCAATCAAAGCGAAAATCAAAGAGGATGCAGTGACCTGCACAGAGGCCTCCGAGAATAAAGTAGTTTTTTTTTGCTTTAGTACACGCGACACCTGAATTTTGCTCAACGTTCAGAACCTAGTCCTGAACGTCAAAAGGGGAATCAGAAGATTTCGCCATGAAAACAGATGTCACCTACCCATCTCAACTTTTGAGCTACCAGTGAAGCATATGCAGACACTAAATGAAAAAGACCTTCTTCTAGAAATTTCAGTGGTTCAGTGGTTCAGTGGTTGTTATCAGCAGTTGTGGACACTGGTTTATCGATGGAACTTTTGATGGAGAGCTGTCCGGAAAACTTCAACCAAATCTACACAGTATATCTGTCTACATATATGCAGGGTCTGCAGAACGTTTCCCTGCATGTACGTACTTCACCCAGACATTGGGCAAGACAATACAATGCACTCTGGTTCAATCTAAAGTCAGACGTAAAAGTAGCAGTTTCTGTCATGACGGACTTTGAAAAGGATACAATAAACTCCGTGGTGGAGAACTTCTCAGAAACCGAAAAAATGAGGGTTTCTTTCATTTTTTTCAGGCTGTCTCCAAAAAATTCGTGACTTCGGTTAATCTATTCAATATCGGGAGGACAAAGATTTCTTTTTTTTTCATATGCCTCTTGGCTGCACTTGCTTTTGCACCGCCATTGCAGGTGGAGGAGTTCTATCAGATCCCAGGAAACATCAAAAAATACTTTGAGGATACTTTTGTATCATAGAAAAGCGGAATTGCCTTACGAAGGCAGGCCAAACTCCACTACGACACGAGGAATGTCTGTTTCCGCACAATTGACGACCTACCGAGAACAAACATTGCTCATGAAAGATTTCACTATAGTTTTGAGTTCATGTTACAAGATATCTGGAAACTAATCAAAACCAGACAAAGACGACAAGTCTTGCAGGCCTTTATTTTGCCGCTGTTGCAGTTTGGAAAAAGTTTACGCGCGGAAGGAAGATAAATCTGGGCGTATAAAGCGCATAACATGTACAGTCTCAAGGAGTTTGAATTTCAAAAATCTATCGCTGTGTATTTGTCTTTTGAAATTAATTCTATTTATGGATTACTTTTGTTAATTCTTCTACTTTAATATTAGCTCTAATGTTGGCGACCAAGTGTAATTTAGTTTTGCAAGTTGCATTTTTGCCTAACGCTAATTTCGGGGATTTCGAAACAACTAATGCGAGATTTTGTTCTTGGGGGATTTAGTCCTGAAGGATTATATCCGGTGGGATTTTATCCGGGGAATTTTATCCAGGGGGATTTAGTCCGCTAGCCAAACTTCCATTATAATACTCGGAAAAAGCATAAAAGATACCGCGCCTTGAACTGAAGTTCAAAATGTAAACATGGATCATGATAAATGTTGAACAACTGACATCAAAACTGCGGCGAGGAGACACTGGTGATGATAATATTTTGAGAAAAAATCTCAAATATTGGTTAATTTCATATGGAATGAAAAAATGACTAAATTGATTCCAAATTTATAGTTCATTTCTTGAAATTTTGTATAGATGTTGCTTGAGCAAATCCAGAAAGGTCTGAATAAATATCTGGAGGAGAAGCGACTCTACTTCCCTCGCTTTTTCTTCCTCTCAAACGACGAGCTGCTCGAGATTCTCTCGGAGACCCAAGATCCAGCTAGAGTCCAGCCTCACCTCAAGAAGTGCTTCGAAGGTACCAACTTACTCCCGAAATTGAAAAAAAAAACGAAAACATTAATTTTTTCATGTGATTTCGCTAGTTTCGAAACTATCTGATCTTTTTTGTTTTTCTAGTAAAATGTATCAATAACTTTTGTTTAATTGGAAAATTTATTAATTAAATTGGAAAAAAGAGACGAGCAACAATAAGCGCTGAGGAATTTTTGTTTATTTGCTCAGTTTAATCGTTTTTGTAGCCTGAAGAAAATTTCTGGAGCTGACTGTCTAAATTGACTTAGTGCAATGATGTCTAAAGATTCGAAAACCAAGCCAAAATTAGTATAAGTAGTTTTATTGTGTTATATTTCATTGTATATATTGTATATTAGTATATATAATATTGTATAATATTATATAATAATGTATATTAGTTTAAATTAGTGTAAAGGTTTAAACTAATTTAAACTAATATACATTAGTTTAATTAGTTTAAATATTTAGTTTATATTTTAGTTAGTTATATTTAGTTTAAATAAATTATCTGTATAATAACTTATTTTTGCCGCATGCATTTGTGTAGGTATAACCAGACTTGGCTTCGACAATGACGGCACTGTGATCACTGCCATTGAGTCCAGCGAGGGAGAGAGGGTGTCAATGTCCACCTCAATCGACACCAGGAGGTCAAAGGGACTCGTCGAGAAATGGCTCCTGGAGGTTAGTTGTACCAATTTAACACAACTCCCCCCCCCCCCCCCCAACACGTTTAGGGAGGAGGATGTTAACTTGGTTCTAAGTTGGGATTTTTCATCCAATCAGAAGCGAGCATTTAACATGCAGCGCTTAGCAAGAAAGAAAGAAAGAATTTATTTCTCATTGAAATTAAATTAAGCGCTGGGGTGGAGCATCTTAACTTGGTCTCTTTTGGGAGGGGAGTGGGGGAGGGATGTTAACTTGATCTGGCTAGATGTCAACCCTAGTTGATCTAGAGAGGTCATTTTGCAAGATTCTTTTAAAGAGGATGTATCTCTTTAAAATATCTTGCAAGATTCTTGCAAGATATTGCAAGATAATCCTCATTTGCAAGAATGTTGCAAAATATTGCAAAACATACTTTATTCTCTTTTTGATTTATTTAAGAAAGATTTCACTTTTAAACGAACTTAAAGTTAATTAAGTAATTGCTGGACATAATTATGTTTTTAAAAGCATGAAATAGCGGCAAACATTGTGAATGCAATCTTCTTTTTTGGGCCAGTTGTTTTTTTCTGAGGTTTTACCGAGAATTGAACCACCAACCCTCTGTTTCTTAATCTGAACCAAGCCAACTTAATCTTAATCTTTATTCAAGCCAACTTGAGTTCATTAGTTTCTGCGTGGTTGTTTAGGTGCAGACTGAGATGCAGAAGAGTCTTCAGAGTGTGATGAGGAAGAGTACCATATCCTATGCCAATTGCGACAGGACTCAGTGGGTGATGAGGTGGCCTGGCCAGATTGTGTTGTCTGCTTCACAGATACATTGGACTGCCGAGGCTGTCAAGGCTAGTTCAAATATCTCATTTGGAGTCCATTTTCTGTCCAGTTAGAGTACATTTTCTGTACATCTTTTGAGAAGAGTGCTGCCGAAAACAATGAAACTCCTCAAAAGTTTAACATTGCTGAACAATGCAATTGGCTGGCTCAACAAAGAAATTTGAAAAAAAAGACGTTCAGAAAAAATTTGGCCCAACAAATCGTGTTTTTTTAGCAACAAGCTGCCCCAGCGTTTGTAAAATACTAGTGTTGGTTGGCGGTAATAATTATGCAAGAAAACCGCCAAACGGGGAAAGCTGACAAAACTGACAAAAGAGTTGTCGATTAGAAATTTGGTGACAGAAACATTGACATGCAGAATTGAGTTTTACAAATCAGCATAAAAAAAGTAAAGTTAGCATCTTATCCATAAATTAAAAAGAGATATTATTGATAATTTATGCCAATGCAGGCTCTGGAGCAGAATAGACTGAAGTGGTACCATGACAAGCTGACCAAACAGATAGAGGCCATAGTGACCATGGTCAGAGGCAGACTCAACACTATGGCCCGCATCACCCTAGAGTCACTCATCGTGATAGATGTACACGGTTAGTCACACGGATCAAGGGAGTGCGGTCTGTATTTCGATAACCGCGTATTCATACTCGTCAGAAAGCAGACAAATACTGTTTTACCCAATCAGAATCGAGATGAGAAAGCCTACTTACAAAATAAATAACTATTAATTATAATTTCTTCCTTACTCGATTCTGATTGATTAATACAGTATTTGTCTGCTTAATTGCAGTGAGGTTCCATGGACAATAATTGATTATAATGGACAAAAATGGTCAAAAATGTTGGCATAATAATCGATTATAATTACACTTTGGCACCACGCAATCGATTAAAATCCATTATAACCCATTATTGTTAGAGAAATTAGATCGATTATAATCCATTTGAAATCCGTTATAATTATTTATAATGAATTATAATCTCTATAATTTGTTCCTATTTTTCTGCAAAATTTACAGCTTTTTCTGCAGTACTCACAGACTACTTGATTTGTAAACTTACTCACCTTTAGTTAAATTTTACAAAAAGTGAAATATAACACTCATCCCCCACATTTATTCGCACCTACCCCCACTCCCGTCTACGTTAACCCACCCCATCCCACCTACCCACCTCCACTTAAGCCACCCGCCTAAACTCACCCACAATTTACCCCCACCCACCTAGACTCAAGCCCCCACCTACCCTCATCCCAACTACCCTCCACACCTATCATATCCCACACACACACACACACACCTCCCCTCCATTGTTAAAGGTGTGTGAGTGTTTTAAGGAGTAAGGGGCACGCGTTTTTAGTTTTTTTCACGTTTTTTACGGTAAATTTAAGTAAAGGGTAAGTGGTGGGGGAGGGGAGGTGGTGGTAAGTGAAAAAAGTAAGAATAGTGGGAATAAGTGTGAAGGAATTAGGGGGAGGGAAGACAAGTTGTAAAACACAATTTAGCGATTGCAACGTTCAAGTTTTGAATATTTGCTTTCAAGCTTTTGGAAAATCCAAATTCTTAATTATAACAATATATTATAATCCACTTTAAACTAATATAATCCATTTAATCCATTACAATCGAATATAATCGATTATATTGGATTAAATTGATTTCTAATTTTTTAGTTTTATAATCGATTAATAATCCATTATAATCAATTATTTGGCTCTTATGACATTATGCATTATGACGACGTTAAATAGACTTTTCAAAATTGAATTTGAAAGGGGGGGACTGGAAAAGAGCCAATTATTTTAAACTTTTAAGACTTTTATCGAAATAGACCATAAAAAACCATTATGAACAATTATTGCATACACGGTTGTCTTAATACTGCTTCGTAACCCGGATCAACTCATAATGAAGTCACCACTGATCGAAGTCACCACTGATCGAAGTCACCACTGATCGGGGTTCGACATTTATACCATTCCTTATTGTTTTCCTTATTGAATATTGTTTTCACGATGTAAAATTTTCGATCACATGGTGCGATTGTTATGACATGTTGAACGTACACATTACTGTACTGCTTTAATTTAAAGCGGAACTGACCTTCGAAAATAATCTTGTAATAACAAGATATAAATTATGTTTGTGCAATAGGAATGGGCAATTTTCAATGTTTGTGCAATTTTCGAAAAAAAAAATTGCCGTAAAATGGTGAAAAATAATTTTTAAAAATGTTCAAACTGTAATGAAGTCTTCTTTAATAAGCTAACTCGAAGTAGAATTTAAATAGTAATAGGGTCTTGAAACCATTTCTAGTTAGCAGCTCTTTTCTTTGATTTTATTACCCTCGGCTCACTTCATCATTTCATAACATCAAACTTTTAAAAAACATACGCAATTAGTCAGCAAGAAAAAAATGTAGAAGGCATCGCTCATAGATTTAAATATAAAAAATTCAAAAATAAAACGATTGCTTTCTCATTTTTTTTTTCAATTTCAGTTTTTTTTTGTGGTGCGGGTAGAGGAACTGAAACGTTCTTAATAGGAATAGAAGGTCTGAAAGCTTTTCAAATGTACGATTCCACATCTATAACTATATTATCAATGTAATCGACTCCCATGCTGCACTCACACAACAAAATGGAATAAAAAATCAAATATAATCTAATATTTTTGCAATTTTAAAATTAATTAAATTCCATTTAAAATCAATCAAAATGTAAGTGAGCAACATAAAAACAGTAACAAAAATTAAAGTTGCGCAGAAAACAATTGATATTGATCAACAAGTATCAACCAACTTGAGTTTAAAACATGGAAAACATTTTATGCGCGATGATATTCGCATCTTAATAGAGTTGAAAAAATTGATTATACTAGAACTTCATTGTCTTTGTCTATAAAAGTGAAAATTAAATAATAGCAATATAATCCATTTTTGCTTGTTTATAATCGATTATTTTTAACTTTTAAGATACTGACAATGAATCAATATTTACCGAATATTATCCATGGAACTCTTGTGCAAGTGTTACTGTATTGCCGCCAAGATAACCCAGTTTTAATATAAAAATTTGCCATTTTTTGCTTTTTACTTAATTGAAATGAACTTCGCGGCTTTTCTTACAAAAATGTCTTCTTAAATTTTTAGTGTTGGATATGACGCTCGTTTTAATACATTTTAATATAAAAATTGACCAAACTTCCCGGAATAATGTTTCATCAATTAAATTAAGTCCTAAACATTCAGTTTTTCAGCGAAGTTTGAATCTGTTTTTTTTTTCACAATTTAAACTGCATCATAACTTTTCCTCATCTTTTTTCTACATTAATTCAAATTTGAGAAAAAAGCACCAAATAATTTTTTTAAAAGTTTTGTCGCTCATCCGATTTTTTTTTATTTTCACTGTATCATTTGATCCTATCCAAACCAAATTTAAATAAAACAAAGAAAAGCGAAACATACTCGAAGATCAATTTATTGCCACTTTGTAGTCAACTTAGTTCGCCCTTTGTTGTTGTGAATATCAACCATTCGTCTAGTAAACAATTCGTCCAAATGACCGTTTCGGCTTTGTGTTCTCTGTAGCTCGTGACGTAGTGGCCAAATTATGGAAAAGTGGAACGAATGACCAAACCGACTTCAACTGGATCTCCCAGCTGAGATATTACATGGTGGACGGGTATGTCCGGGTGAGGATGATCACCACTGAGGTGCCCTACTGTTACGAGTACCTGGGCAACACTTCCAGACTTGTGATCACGCCACTTACTGACAGGGTCTACAGGTGAGTGGACGGGCACTTAGCCGAAGTTAAATTGACCGAATTAGACCAATCTTCGGATCACCTACTCAGAAAAAATTTTCCCAAAATAAAAATTTGTCTAACAAAACAGCCTGTTGAGTTCACATGATAGCCTGCGTAGTTGGAACATTTTAATTTTTCTCTAGAACTCTGTTCGGAGCTCTGAAGTTGAATTTGGGCAGTGCTCCCGAGGGACCGGCAGGCACGGGTAAAACAGAAACTTCAAAAGATTTGGCGAAGGCCGTCGCTAAACAGGCAAGTATTTCCTTTTAATAAATTTTCTCATGTCATGAACAAATGAAATAACCGATGTACAGAAGCTTTCGAATGTGCTTCGTTTTGTAGTAGTTAAGTAATAGTAATATAATTAAATGACATGAAATGAAAAAATACCAACTTGAAACTGCCTAAAAACAGCTAAATCTATATAGCTTGAGCCAGAAACAGGATTCGATAGACTTTTTGGTTCTCTTTTACTATATCCCCCCTCGAGTACCTAGTAACAAATCTCTCCCTAATAAGAAACAAATCAACAGTTAAGCATATCAGAATTTTATACCTATTAACGAATATCCCCTTTTTTGCAAAAAGGGGATATAGTTATAAATAGATCCGACTTTTTAAAACATCATCTGAATGTTGAATTCAAATGCGTCGTTTTTCAAGTGCGTGGTGTTCAATTGCTCCGATGGTCTGGACTACAAAGCGATGGGCAAGTTCTTCAAAGGACTCGCGCAGTCCGGTGCCTGGGCATGCTTCGACGAATTCAATCGAATCGATCTCGAGGTCCTCTCAGTGATAGCCCAGCAGATCCAGAGCATCCAGCGTGCCATTGGCGAACAGAAGACAGTTTTCAATTTCGAGGGCACTGATATTAAACTGGACAAGACGTGTACTATTTTTATAACTATGAACCCAGGGTATAAAGGACGAGCAGAGTTGCCGGATAACTTAAAAGTCAGTTGAAAGTTTTTTTGAAGATGATTTTAAAGGTTTTAAATTTGAGATAGGTTTTAATAGAATAGCAGGATTTGTTCTAAGTTACCTAAATTTAAATTTCAAATTTTTCTATGCACATGTATGAACAAAACTAATTTTACATCTGCGCTCATAAAATAACCCAAGTTCGAAAATCTGAAAACATGTATCCTTCAAGTGTCCTTTTTATACAACATCTTTGACAATTAAAACGAGTGATATAAAATGAGTTAACATATCTGCTTGAAAAACTTGACTGAGTTTGTCGTTCCAGGTGTTGTTCCGTTCGGTGGCCATGATGATTCCCGACTACGCCATGATAGCTGAAATCTCTCTCTACTCCATGGGTTTCATAGATGCACGAGTGCTAGCGGGCAAGATCATTGCTGTTTACAGACTCTCGTCCGAACAGGTCAGTGACCTTTTGCTCCTATTTATTTGGACCGCGAACAAACAAAAAAAACGAAAAAAAAGCTTTTCGTCAAAATGCGATGTTGCATGACTCCTTGGTAATAGTTTACTTCTAGCTATTCCGTGGTCATTGGCCACGTGACCGTCTCTATCTTAATACTTCACACTTTGCTGCCAATTCAAACACTGAAGCTCTCAATTGGTTTTAGAATGTTATAAAGATCGGAGCAGGTTTAAGAAGGATAACGTGCAGACATAAAAGGGCAGAGGAACAAGAGATTGCAATTTTATGTTGTCAAAACTGAACACTACAATCCTTCTATTTTTTGTATATGAATATCATTTATTTCATGATACGATGTGTCTTTGAAGCCAATGCATCCAACAAAAAACTGTAAAGATTTGAATGTCGTCTGTGATAAGTACTTATCGACCTTGTTTTTAAAATTATACGTAAAAAATCTTTTAATTGGTATCCGCGGTTTGTTCCAGCTCTCAGCTCAGCACCACTACGATTATGGAATGAGGGCAGTAAAAGCAGTTCTCTACTCGGCTGGCAGACTCAAACTCCAGTTTCCAGAGGAGAACGAGGCCATCCTGGTCCTCAGATCAATCAACGACGTCAACCTGCCGAAGGTAGTACAAAGCCACTGATCATATGTTTGAATCCGTCTCATTTCTATATTTTACTTCAAAGTTTTGTCGGCCATAATGTATAAAATGAATTAGATCGAGAGCGATACTTTTTCTAAAAAAGACTACTGGAACCCGGGTCGAATTTCGTCCTTATTTTGGTCTCTGTTTTTCCATAAAGGGTGCTGAATGAGCCCAGTTTTTAGAAAAACGAGCTGAATGAGCGCAATTTTCAGCAAAAAGAGATGAATGAGCCCAGTTTTAAGCAAATTGGGCCCAACTTTTTGTCCTCTGTTGTGATTGCATCATATTTTGCATTTATTGCAAAACGTATTTAGCTTTAATTAACAGGTCACTCCTTTATGACCTTCATTGGCCATTCTCTCCGGCGGAGAGAATGAACTCTCTCATTATTTTAATGTTTTAACTTACCGACTAATTCATCTTAATTCGTATTCTTTTTAATAGTTTCAACTTAGAATTAGCTACAACAAATAACATTTCATCATGGCGCAGTCAAATAACGAATCTAACGTGAGAGGAATACCTTCATTTTGGCAAAACCATACTGTAGACCCCCCCCCCCCCATTCCCTGGGAAGACTGGAGTGATCTGTTTCAATTAGCTATAATTGCTAAAGAGAACATAGACATAGAAAATTTACTAAATCCTTCGGAGAGACATCACCCACAACCTCCAAATTTGGAAAATCCGACGAACGGAGAAACAGTTCCCAAAGACGCTCGAGAATGGAGAGAAATACCCAAGAACAAAGACAATACGACAAAGAGGAATCAGCCTCGATCAAATGCGAAACCAAGAAATTCAATGGATTGCGACTAGAAGAAGCTGATAAAAAACTACGTTCGGTTCTATATCTAGCACTGGGAAACGAAGGAAAAAGGATCTTCGGACAAAAATTTACCAAGGTAAAAATCTTACAAATCTCTTTTAAAGAATTTTGGGATTCCCTAGCGATCGCTTTCGTAAGAAAGACAATGTCACATTCGAACGCCATAAATTGTTAAACCGAAAACAACGGGACAGAAAATCGCTCGAACAATTTTGGGGTGCCTTAGCTGAAATGGCAAAAAAGTGCGACATAACCGCAGGAGAAGAAGAGTGGATACGAGACATTTTCATAAACAATATGAAAAACTACGACATTCAAAGAAAACTGCTAACAGAAACCCTTCCCCCACGCGAAGCACTAAACGTAGCACTCATAGACAAAAAGGGAATTTTAAACCACCTAAAGCTAACAAATAATTTTAAATCCAACGGATCATCCGTACATAAATCAAACAGCCATTTTAACGTCAAAAGAGAACCAACTCTCAATATCAAAAAACAACAACAACTGTATGAAGTGCGGCGGAATCTTCTCAAAAGGCCACCTAGCAGTTTGCCCAGCAAAAGACACTACTTGTACTTCTTGTAAATTTAAAGGTCATTTTACCAGACTTTGTAGATCTCGTCGTAAAATGTAAACATTGTAAATACCCAAATTGTAGATAATACAGATTTTAATCCGTCGGATAATCCGGATGTAAATACAGACCATGAAGATAGAGAATGTTGTGGCGTCATAAACGCATGGTCGGAATCTGGACAAAGCGAAAACGACAATTATTCTGTATTAAATGTAACTACAATTTTCGGCGAAGATGGAAAAGAATTGAAGAAATTATTGAATATTGGACTCGGAAAAGAAAACCAAGTAATTTTAAATATCCAAGTGGATTCGGCTAGCCCGGTCAGCTTCCTCAAGAAAATCGTACTACATGAATTGAAACTACGTGAGCCTTACTTGAATATTTATCCGGTGGATAAGGCAACCAAAGACCTTTACTGTGGATTCACAGATAACGCCATAAACATTTCTAGAAAGGTGAAACTTCCGATTTTCTCAAACGGCTGGTTAGACAACGACTGTCATTTCTTTTTGACCGAAGGGCACGAGAGAAATATCTTAGGAAATGACAATCTACCGAAAGTGGGGATAGAAGTCTCTCAGAAACACTTCCCGCAATTTCAGACTAACAAACAGTGTAAGTCAAAAAATTCCATCTTTCAAACGGACAAAGATAGGGAAATTCTAAACATATCAAAAACATTCAAAAATTTATTCCTTCGGATTGGGAAAATTAAAAACCAGACGAAAATCACTCATTTTCACGAACCCTTAAAACCAATCCAACTAAAGGGAAGACGAGTTCCCCTTCACTTACTGGATTCTTTTAAGACAGAACTCAATAGATTAAAAGACGAGGGATATATTAAAAAACTAGAAAACTGTGACGAAGACCGCTTTATTAGCCCAATAGTCATTACTTGCAAAAAAGACAAATCTATCAAGCTAGCTTTAGATTCAAAGTTTATAATTAAACAGATTTACAAGAACAATAACCAAATGCCAAACATTCACGAACTAGTAGACAACGTCGCGGCGCAAATTGCTAATGATTCCGTTGGAGAAGTGTGGTTTACTAACTTAGACCTAAAAATGCATACAGTCAACTTGCATTAGATAAATTTACTAGCAATCAATGCAATTTCAGTATCGTGGGCGGTGATATTACGGGTACTTATCAATTTTTAACCGGCTTTTACGGCCTAGGCGATATGCCTAACGAATTTCAAATAGTGATAGATTCTACGTTAGGTTCTATCCCTTTTACCAAACGACCTAGACGACATTTTAATTGCTTCCAAAGGAACATTTGTAGACCACAAGAACATTGTGTTAAAAATTTTATCCACTCTGGACGAATATAACTTCGCGGTCAAATAATCACAATGTAAATTCTTTCAAAACGAAATAGAGTGGTTGGGATTCAAAATCTCAAAATCAGGAATTATACCTTTTTTCGACAAATCGAAAGCAATAAAAGACTTACCTATTCCAAAGAACTTGAAAGAACTACGATCATTTTTTGGTTCTATAAACCAGTACATCAACTTTGTTCCAAATTTAGCCTCTTTAGGAAGTCCACTCCGTCCGCTTCTTAACAAGAAATTGATATGCCAATGGAATGACGACCATACAAAAGCGTTTGAAAAAACTAAATAAGAAATTGTAAATTAACAGAGAATACCCATTTTGACGTAAAACGCAACACTAGAGTAAAAACGAACGTGTCACACAATGGTCTGGGAGCTTCCCTCAAACAACTCCACGGGAAAGACTGGAAAACAATTTCTTTTGCCTCTCGCTTTTTAAACCCACACGAGTCAAAATATTCTACAAACGAGCTCGAAATATCAGGGGTTGTATGGGCCGTTGAACATTACAAGAATTACCTTTACGGATCGGAATTCGAAGTAATTACTGACCACAAAGCTTTATTGTCCGCTCTCTCGCCAAATCATGGAACTAAAACATATCATAGTAGATTAACAAGATGGGTAGACAGATTGTTAACTTTTAGTTTTTCAATCAAACATCTAGCAGGAAAGGATATGGGCTTCACTGACCTTATTTCTAGGATACCATCTGGAAAAGCGCTCCCAATATCTCATTACGAATTTGTAGTAGCAAATATTAATAAGATTAACAAATCAATTATTCCGTCGGAGAAACAAAGAATTACCTGCTCAGCCATTGGTTCTAATCTGGAAAATTCCGATTACGCTATATTACGTAATTACTTAATAGCGTCAGTACCAAAACTTATAAACTCGACTTTCCCAATTTGTTCATTTAATCACAATAGAACGGAATTTTGTACTTCAAATTGCATTCCAACGGATTATTCAAAAACAAACCCATTATTTATTTCTATTTCTAATTCATAATTATTTTACTTTTTAATTCTTAATTGCAGATTAATTAAATCACCTGTAGATAAAAAAAATTGTAGATACCGTTAATATGAATCATAAGAATAGTGTAATTAATCCCTACAATTCCGGTATTTTAGTAGATTTAGACTACCCGCTATTACCTGACCACGCCAATCTTGTTAAAAAATACCGCAAAAACTTGAAGTTGCCGGACCGACCCTTGGGATTGAACATTTTATTTAACGCCAAGCTGGTAGCGCTTTTGACAGAAGACTACCCCATGTTGAATCCAATTGTTAAAGCACTTCAAAACAAAGTGGAGAAGATTAATGCAAATTCTCCTTATTTTAAACACTTCACCAGAGATCTACACGAATCCGACGGATTGCTTTACATGGACGGTAAACTCGTTATACCTTTTACCCTGAGAAACGCGATGATGAAGACTCTCCACGAAACTCATCCAGGCCAATTCGGAATGAAGTATTTGGCCCAATACATCTGGTGGCCTCATATTAACAGGCAAATTTACTTCCATGGAATAAATTGCTCTGAATGCACATCGGCGGGTAAGAATCTGAAAACTGTTATCCCAAATTCACAAACTAGTGAACTTCCTCCGTTATTGGAACCAAACGAAGAACTTAACCTAGACTTCGCTGGACCTTTGGACTCCTATTGGGGGTCAAACAAATATATATTACTTTGCATCGACAGATTTTCTAAATTTCCGTCGGCAAAATTACATCTTCTACCTCTACAAAAACAGTTATCGAAGTCTTACAGGATTATATATTTTTACACGGTATACCGTATTCCATAAGGGTAGACCACGCAACTTGCTTTACAAGCCAAGATTTTAATTTATTCTGTGATTCTAACAACATTAAAATAATATTTTGTACAGTAGGTGACCATCGTTCCAACGGATTAGTCGAAAAATTGGTACACAAGGTAAAGATCAAATAACTTGCTATTTCAAAAGACCATCAATAATGTACACTACAAAACGCCGTTTCAAAGATTATCTGGAATTTACGTTCATCTTACCAATCAAAAATTAAATGTTCTCCATTCGAAATCCACTATTACAGAAAACCAAATACAATTTGGAAACAATTAGCTTCTGGTAAACCTTCCGTTGGTATTTTAGACAAAGGAAAATCTATATTGTCTAAAGAACGAGCAAAGGACTGGAACGCGGATGATAGACTAGCGGATGGTTACAAGGACGATTTGGTAGCGAAAAAGAATCAAACGCCGATCGACAAGGGCTACGACACCGACTACGCCTCATCCTCGAAAATCAAGCCTAATAGATTACCAATCAAAAACCCCTCCAAAGGTAGAATTCTTCGAAAAAGTAACGATAACATCAATCGAGACTGTTTCTATAAGGAATTAAACAAAAGAATAATAAATTCGACTACCTCGACAGTAGAATTATCCGACGGAAAAATAATACGAAAATCTGACATCGCGATTCCTAAATCTACCTCGAATAAAATCAGACCTTTTAAAGGTAATATTTTATTCCCTTTTTTTCCTAATCATAATGTTGAAGTAGGTCAGAAACAGGAGGGTTCGAGACGAAGATCAAAAACGAAAAAGCCGATGCCTAGGACTCGCAAACAAGTGGAACTGGTCCCATCTGATAACCTGACAAGGACACGTGTATCGGGGTCATCCTATAAACCAACCAGAAGACAAACTCGCCGCTCAAAGAAGTCGTCAACCCCTCCAGGTTACCTTGCTTCGGATGAATCCATGCTAATTCCTTCGGAGATTTCGGATACTAGTGAATGGGAATGGATAGCGGGCGATTTCCCTTGTAGAGATGTAGCCAGAGAGCGCTTTATTTCAGACTCACACACAACCCATTTCTCAAATGGAATCAACCTTAATTCCGGCGTAACCAATACTGAAATAAAATCTGAGGTTTTAGAAGACGATACGGACCTAAATAGAGAACAATTCGAGGACGAGACTCGCGAGTGCCCAATAATCATTATTCCCGCTAACCGAACTTCTAGCGCACTGGAACAAGAGACCACAAACCAGGGAGAGGAAGAATCCACCATCGAATCACGGAATTTACAGGATGAACATAATCCAACGGATTTGGGCTCAATTACAGATTTCCCGGTTTACGAGATAATATATTCAGCGGACGATTGCACTCCACCTCTCAACCCTACCAACATACCTGGTAAAATTCTCCCCACCATCCGACGTTCTAGTAGAAATCTTGGTCCACCGAAGTTTTACGGTCAAAGATATTTTATAGATGCCGTAGACAAATCACAAGAAGCCTCTGGTTCAGCAGCTGATCCCATCGTGATAGAAATTGACGATACCACCACTCACGAGACAGACAACAACACGGCTCTGGCGGAGTTACTTCTATTAGACTCGGATTCACCATCTCCAGACCAAACATCCACCCCATCAACCGATGAATCGCTAAGGATGGATGTAGAAAATTTCGGAGATCATTCTGAACTTGATAGTGAACTTTTTAACGTCGAACTAGAAAACTTTTTAAACGAGTATAGAAATTGTAATCAATAAGCATAATACCGACCTTCTTCTCGAGTACATCCCATTTCACACACCGGTGCTAAGTTTTATTTCCTAAAATTGTGTCGGAAGATTTAGTGTACACAAATTTTCGTAACTTATCAATTCCTTCGGAGTGCTTATCCATAGTTTGGCCCATCATACCATGCTTCCATAAAATCCTTATCTGACATTACATCTAACTCACGCGTTGTGACACCTTGCCATCATTAAATTGCGGTGCTAATTTTGTCGTATTTTAATTTCCTTACTTTTTCGTAGATCTTATCCATCGGATACCGGATAACCATATCCTCATTCCATCGGTGTAGTACTTAGCACTAGAGTGGCGCTTTAGTTAATTTTCAGTTACTTATTCAGTGGTGCATTAAATTTTTTTCTCGTCCTTAAAAGGGGGAGAAAGGACTCAGACTCAGTTATTTCGTATTTCGTACTTATTCAGCGTAAATTAAAAATTTTTCCTGCCTAGAGGAATGTTGTGATTGCATCATATTTTGCATTTATTGCAAAACGTATTTAGCTTTAATTAACAGGTCACTCCTTTATGACCTTCATTGGCCATTCTCTCCGGCGGAGAGAATGATCTCTCTCATTATTTTAATGTTTTAACTTACCGACTAATTCATCTTAATTCGTATTCTTTTTATTAGTTTTAACTTAGAATTAGCTTCAACAAAGTAACATTTTATCATCCTCGTTTTTCCAGTATAGAACTCAATGAGCCCATATCTTCCAGAAGAGACTGAACGAGTCGAATTTTTAACAAAAATAGCTGAATGAGCCCAGTTTTAGGCAAAGTGAGCACATTCAGTTTATTATTTTAGCTTAAAAAGACCAAAACAAACAGTAACTCTAAGGATTGATAGAGTCATATGAGGATGAATTGTTTTGTACAAAAGGTTCTGAACGAGCCCAACTTTTAGTCCTTGATTTGCCCTGGATGGGGATGAGTGAGTTCACTTTTCTAAATATTGGGCTCCTAATTAGACGCCTTTGGGTCTGCAAATTTTTCAGTGATAACTAAAGTACCTACAAATTGTACAACAAATTCAGCCCCTTTTTATGGAAAATTTTGTGCAAAAATTTTGACCCGGGAAATTACAAAGACAGAAAAACATGATTTCAGTTGAGAAATCAGCTTTTTTCCCAATGTTTTGCTTTTTAGAATGACATGAGACTTTTCTGTGATGACATGAGAACCCATCCAGAGACAAGTCATTGAACATGTTTCAAAAACAAAAACTAAATGAGTTCCACTGACAAAATTTTCCTGGGTTTGGCGCGCAAATACCTGTAACGTTAAACTTTTCGTAGCGGATTCCAGTTTTGTTGCGGATTCCGCCACAAGCAATAATAGCTATTTGTTCCGGTTTTTCCCAATTGAAGCGGGTTCTGCAAATTCTAAGCGGACTCCGCAAATGTAAGTGGACTCCGAAGCTTTGTTTATTGTGCTGGTTAATTCAGTTCTTGCGTAAACAATTAAGAGAAATAGTTAGAAAAAAAATCTAGTAAACGGTTGAGTTTAAAAGCAAGGATTGAACCATTGTCATTGTAATCCAATGACAAATCTTAAAACGATATCCTGGATATACCCTTTCAGCTCATAGTGGGCCCTATTTGTATTGATTTTGTCTTCACAGAAAAATCAAAAATGCTGTCTCAGTGTTGAGAAAAAACTGGTCTGAATATTTTCAAGTTTCAGATTAATTTAGACAAAATTTGATTGGGGGCAGGGGCGGATTTAGGGGGGGGGAGCGGACGCCCCCCCCCCTCCCTCAGCGATTTGACCCCCTGCCGACCCAAAGGGTCCCCCCTTTGGTACTTTTTAAGAAATCCATTTTTTGCCGACCGACCCTAAAATTTTTCTAAAGGGACCGTTTAGTGCTTTAGAAGAGCTCGGAAAATCAATTTGGTCGACCTAAAAAAAAAAAAGGGCGTCAAAATTTTCGAAAATTTTTTGAAAATCCGCCCCCCCCCCCTCGAAAAAATCCTGGATCCGCCCCTGATTGGGGCTGAGCTCCAAATTTAGTTCTACTCCAACTTTTTTAGCTGTCCCTTCATTTAGTTTTTGACCTAATTCATTCTTTTTTAATTTCTAAATATAACAGATAATTTACACAAAAAATCTGAAGTACTTGAGGAATGGAAACTCTGCAGTACTTCTATTTATAATGTGGAACTATTTATATAAAATCCAACTAACAATGTTCAAGAGTTGTTATCCACATTTAAAGATACCCCAGAACATTCATGTTTGGGGTATGTAACATAAAATATCATTTCTTCTTTTCTATAGTTCTTGTCTGCGGACTTGCCTCTGTTCCACGGCATCATCCTGGATCTGTTCCCTGGCATCTCGGCCGCCAAGCCAGATAGACCGTCTGTGGAGACAGCAGTGAACACGGCATGCAAGAACTTTAACCTCCAGCCAGTGCCCTGGTTCGTCGAGAAGGTCATGCAGGTAGGTCGGACAGCGGTTTGTATTTAGACAACCGCGTATTCATACTCGTCAGTATGCAGACAGATACTGTTTTAACCAATCAGAATCGAGATGAGAAAGCAAACTTACGAAATAAACTTTTGTTAATTATTAACTTCTTCCTTGTCTCGTTCTGATTGGTTAATATAGAATTTGTCTGCTTACTGACGAGTAGGAATACGCGGTTGTCTAAATACTGCTACGCAACCGGGTAGGTTATTGAAGATGATTCATTTTGGCAAATACCTGACCTATTTTTGCAACGATGCGAGCTCTTCTCGTGAATACTGCTCTTAGACATTCTTTGAAACGGTTCGGTGTTTCGCTGAGATTATCAACTTAACAACATCCCCCTTTCAAGAAAGGGGAGGAGATTCTTCATAAAATAACTCAGCAAAAATAATTAGGGTTTTCGACCAATCAGGATGTAGAAAAACTGAAACTCTGGATAACTTGGATGGCTAAGTATAAATTCAAGGCGGTGCTATTTAAATAAGACGACAAGACATTAAGACGACAAGACATTTTGACGACAAATGAGGGTTAAATTATGTAAGATGAGTTTTTCGAATTTACAAGTACTGTTTCGTTGATCGTGTAGGAGTTTGACATGATGAAAGTGAGACATGGCTTCATGATTGTGGGGGAGACTATGGGGGGCAAAACCAGCTCCTTCAAGGTGCTCGCCAGGGCATTCCAGCTGCTGTGCGAATACACTGACGGAGAGGAACAGCCGGTCAGTTTCAATGTGCCTTGATTTAACTTAGAGGCCAGGGGTTAGGATGAGTGGTGTGTTTTGCCGCAAATTTAGTCAGCTCAAAAAACGCTCATAGGTCATCGAAAGTGATAGCATGTTAAATCAAATCGGACTCAACAAACGTTTTTAAAAATTTTTCCAAATTTTATCTGGTTCGTTTATTTTCATCACCTAATTTAACTGCTCTTTCAAAAGGAAAAATCTCAGCAAAGTTTCAGACACCTGTGAACGGACCTTTAGGTCCAATGGTGCTCTCCTAGCCAGTAAAGTTGTTGGCGTGGTTTGTAAGTTGAATAACTATCCAACATTGGAATAGCCTGAAAACAATATATTATTAATTATTATTATTATAGAAAGTTTCAATAAAAATATATATTTTTTCGATTTTGAAAGTTTTTCTTTGCATTTTTTCTTCAATCTAGCCGGAGAGCTTCGGTACTAATTTTAACACTTTTGATCAATCAATTTTGTTTTTTTTTGTTTTCAAATTACCCCCGTCCTACGCAGGGCAGGACCAACAATGGAGGAGGTGGAATGTCAATCATTTTACCGTAGCCGGTCCCAACTTAAAGGGGCGGATGACACTGTGAGTAGCGGTGGCTGGATGAATAAGAGACGAAGCCTTTAACTCAAAAATTGTGGGTTCGATTCTCGCTCTGGTTATGGTTGGAGGGGTCTATTGTCATCCGTTTCCTCAAGGTGGGACAAATTGCGGCAAAATGGATGATATCTCTCTCCATACGAAAAAAGACCGCGTGTTGAGTAGTGGGAGTTAGGCTGGAAGCTAATAAAAACATTTGGACATAACCAACCGTGAACAAAGTGAGATTTGAACGCACGACCCTCGTGTTGAGAAGCGCTTGCCTTACTTCACTCGTTCCGAGCTTCGATTTTTTTTCTGACAACAATTAAGCGCTTTTTGTAGATAACGGTTTCTTATGAGTTTTCTCACAAATTCAGGCAAAAATGGGTCTTTTTATTGTTTTGATAGAGCTTGAAAGATAAAACTTACCGTTTGGTTTGTGGTTTTCTTCTGTCTTTTCTAATCAAATTGCTCAGACTTTTGAAACGAATGAAGGAATATAGAAATTCTTGGTATGTTTTTTTATTCAGGCCAATTTCGACTTTCGATGTAAGCCTTGCCAACGGAAAATTGTTAGAAAGATCTGAAAAGTACTAAATTTAAAGCTCTAAATTAAAGAGATATTGAACCTGTGAATGTTTCACGAAGTTCAAGGGCTTGAAATTGTGACTTCATTAGCCAATCTGGATCAATTAAAACGAATGAACCTTCAGCGGGCGTAGTAAATGAGACAATTTAATCCAGCTCATGATTTGCTCCAAAATGATATGAGGCACGCTAATTATTCTGAATAATAAGTGATCGGTGCGAAGTATATCACTTTGTACTCTTCACTGATGCGGGGCAAGATTTTTAAAAGCAATAAAAAATTTTGAGTGAAATTGTTTCAGACATTCGAAGAAAATGACGGAATAATTGTGCTCGGGTGGTTTTTTCTCAAAGCAAATTTCGAATTTTTAACTAGCCTTTTTTAAACGGAACTTTTTTATAAACTCTGAAAGCCAGTAATGTCTTGAGCTCACACTTAAGTTGATCTGATTCTTGATATGAGACACGCTAATTGATCTGAATAATAAGTGATTGGTGCGAAATATATCATTTTGTACTCTACACTGATGTGGGGCAAGATTTTCAAAATGGTTAAAAAAATGTAGACTTACGGTTTTATTCAAAATTTCGAAGAAATTCACGGAACTTTTATGCTCAGGTGGTTTTTATCTCCAGGCCAGTTTCAAACTGTCAGCTAGCCATTTTAAACAAAATTTTTTATACCGTCTGAAAACCAGTAATGTTCTGAGCCCACACTTAAAAAGATGTTTCACCTATGTTAATTTTCTGAAAAAATTTCCAGGTTTCAAAATTGCCTATTTATTAAACTTGGGATACTTAACTCACGATATTCAAGCTTTGGATTTTAACGCGTGAGGGATTATTTAATCCGCTCGTAAATTGTTCCAGATTGAACTGAGACAAAAAAATTGTTGTTATAACCTTCCTAGACACTACGTACATCGCTTTGTTTGCGCCCTCAATTTTCTCGAAAAATTTAGCAAGAACTTTGTTCAAGTTACAAAAGTCTTGTTTATCAACTGTTTCTTAATTAAGCGACTTTTAATTCTAAACTTGTTTCCAAACTAACTAAAAGACAGTGCGAAACGGAACTAAGGGCTGCATTGTTGTCTCAATGTGGACGGCCCCAAAACAAGCTCGTATAATATCAAAGATAGTTTTATACAAAAGCCTATTGGTCGTGATTTGGATTTTATGCAAAAATTGAAAAAAAATTGACTCCTGTGGGGAAAAATGACAAAATTTAAATTTCTCTTGACCTCCTACAATTTTTTTTCTCTAAAAAAAGAATTTGCTTTCGAAAATTTTCTGAATTATTGTGTTTGGAAAATCTAGCGCTGCTTGCACAGCAACAAGCTCATCTATTTTTTTCCAGATGTTATTTTTTTTTCTTCAATTTTTTAGGTTGACTTTGAGATCATCAACCCGAAATCGATCACTCTGGCTCAACTGTACGGCTCCTTTGACTCCATCTCACACGAGTGGAGTGACGGAGTGCTGGCTAATATATTCAGACAACATTCTCAGGCCATCGAGGATGACAAAAGGAGGAAGTGGATTGTGTTCGATGGTCCAGTCGATGCGTCCTGGATCGAAAACATGAACACTGTCTTGGACGACAACAAAAAGGTTGTTGAACAGATGACCATTCACTTTGAAATACAGATACTTAGGTTCAGAAGCGGATTTAGGGGGGGGGAGGATGCTCTTCCCCCCTCAGGAGTTCGACCCCCTGCCGACCCAAAGGGTCCCCCCTCTGGTACTTTTTAAGAAATCCATTTTTAGCCAACCAATCCTAAAATTTTTCTAAGCGCTATTTTTTTGTCAAAACTTTCCAAAAAGTGCCCATAAACGGCTTTGTTTACCTATTTTTTTTCCCAAAAATTTGCCTGCGGCGCAGACAATTTGGCCAAAACAGCGTCTTTTTAGTGCTTTAGGAGAGCTTAAAAAAGATCGTCCAAATTTTTGAATTTTTTTTTTCGAAAATCTGCCGCCCCCTCGAGAAAATCCTAGATTCGCCCCTGCATAGGTTGGAAAAGTAATTGCAAGGAGTACTTCTCTTAATTTTGAATGTTCAATGTTTATGGTGGTTTTTTGGGGGGCGGCGGTGGTAGTTACGATATGAACACTGTCTTAAACGACACCAAAATTGTTGAGTAAATGAACATTCTAACTTCACTCAGATTTGAAAACGCAATAATAGAACGAAAAAAAGTTTAATCCCAAGCAACGAATAAAGTATCATAGCAACCAGAGTATAACTTTTTTCCATCGAGGAAGATGATTTTTTGGTGTTTTTGCCCCTCAACCAATAACTTAATGTTTTGCTAAATGGTCCTTTTAATTGCGGATAGTTCGCGCTTGAACAACCTTCTCAATTTGTGAAGTAAATTTTATTTCAGCTGTGTCTGATGAGCGGTGAGATCATCCAGATGAGTTCTCAGCAGAACATGATCTTCGAGCCACAGGACCTGGAACAGGCGTCCCCTGCCACTGCCAGCAGATGCGGCATGATCTATATGGAGCCGAGTGAGTTGGGGTGGCAGCCTCTGCTTAGAATGTGGTTCGACAACAACCTCCCCGAGCAGTTGTCTCTTGATCATAAAAATATGGTCAGGGTGAGTGTGCAAACTCCGTGCTTAATTCTGATTTGAATTTATTTTTGAATTTGATTTAAATTTAAGTGTCAATCAACGAAATGAAGGCACTTATTTAGGCAGTGTGCTCCTTTTATTTTTTTTTTCAGGAAAATCTCAAGTATAATATGTTCAGGCTCAAGTATATATTTTTTTGCAATTTGTGACTTGATGCATTTTTAAGTTCAATTCAAAATTATTTGCTAAAAGGAAACCAAATTACGCTCTGCAATTACGAAAATGAAAATGGCCCAAAAATGTGATTGACTAGTAGTTTAAAAGTGGATTTCTTTTTTTTAGATTTCGCAGTTGAAAAAAGAATGAAAATTTGATCTTGTTTCCTCAAGTCGGGATAGGTTTATGAAAAAAGCGTCTTTCATAAATTAATCTCGCAATTCAAAGAATCTTACCGCCATGTGTTTTTCTTCAAAAATGTTTTCAAAAATTCATCAGTAATTTTTCTTTGGTCTACTGACGTTCATGCACTCTTTCCCAACTGTCTGTTTCATAAAAAAGTTTTTTAAATAAACGGTTGATTTTTTAAATTACTCAGATAAAATTGAATATATGCTTTGTTCACTTAGCTGTGCGCTGATTGGCTGATCCACCCGTGTCTGAAGTTCGTGCAGAAAGAGTGTCAGATGGTGATCAAGCAGTCCAACCAGCAGCTGGTCGGATCCCTCATCCGTCTCTACAGCAGCTTCATGCAACAGATAAGGTATAGCACAGTTATGCTCGTTTTACTGGATGCCCGGTTTGACTTTCATAAAAGAAAAATGCCTGTCACTCAATTTCATATACTGAGTCTATGAAATAATGCTTATCATACAATTTTTGTAGAAGAAAACTTTATGACAGGCAATTTTTTCAATGGAAAAGTTTTTTTTTAAATTATCTTAAATTGGTTTAAAATTTAGGTTGTGTGGTTTTTGTTTATTTGTTTTCCCTGGAAAAACGCTTAAAATTTGTTCACGCTCAAATTTGATGTTTTTTTTGCGCTTCGACTTTTGATTTTCCTTGGTTCAATTCAAAATCATTTGCTTAAAAGGAACGCGACTTATGCTCTTCAATAACGAAGGTGCAAATGGCACAAAAAAGCTGGGTCAAATTTCAGTTTCACAAGTTGATTCAAGTTTTCAGAGTTCACAGCGGAATAAAATATTTACATATTGATTCAGTTTTTTCCAAAAATAATCGTTCTTTTTTAAGAGTCGATGAACGGAGTTCAGACTTTTATATAGGTCGCGATGATTTTAAAAAAAAGTTTTTTTAGGAAAAGCTTAGGCTCAAATTTACTTTTTTTTGCGGTTTGACTTTTGATTTCATTTCAAGTTTAGTTCATTTCTTTTGGTAAATGGAAGGCAAACTCCACTATTGAACAGCGAAAGTTAAAAGATTGACTTCTAGTTTCAAAAATGGAATTTAATATTCGGATTTCCCAGCAAAATAAAAAGTTTACCTATCGTTCCATTATCTTAATGTATTTCAGGACCGCTTCATTTTTCGATCGAACATAGGTTTTAAATGACTTGTTTGAGCCACGCACCTAATTTGAACCAATTAGATTTGTGATTTTTTTCAAATACTGATTTCATTTTTTGTTATTTTGAAATTTGGCAAAGTAAATAGAACGACCCCTCGCCATCAAATAAAAAAAATGACAATATGAAATCAATTTCAAAACAATCTAACTTAATTTGAAGGAAAGAAAGCGTTAAAAACTATCCGGGTGAGATGAGCAAAAAGTTTCAATGGTATTAAAAACTAATAAAAACTATAAAACACAAAGCTATTCGATATTTTTGGACTGCCTGATTTTCTGTGGAACAATTAAACACATACGTTCCTCTCCAATGCGGGGTTGAGATTTTTATCTGCAGAAAATGATAAACGTCGTCCGATAGATATATTGGTTTGGTCTTGAAATAAAAACTAGCCACTCAAAATTTGTCGAAAGATTTTACCATATGTCGCCATATGTATTATACGAAGAATAATTTAATCCAAAAATATTCGATCTATCAAAAGTAGTCGGCGCATTTTGTTCCTACAATTAAAAATAGGGAGGAGTTTTGTCTTCGGTGTATTTTGGTTTGTTCTTTGTTTGTTTTCCGCGCAAAATCAGCTACCGCAATTAATCATAGAAATCGTTTGATTGATATATTTTATTAAAACACTTTCATTTGTGATTCAATCGACATTAAACACTTCCAAACAAGTTTTCAGTGTCGTGAAAAACCGGTTTGATATTTAAAATGTTTTGTCTTGTTTTTAGCGAGTAATGCTTATGAGCAGGCTTGTAATAGGCTTACAATAGTAAGCTTATTATACAAGTTAACCCGTGAAAACTGTCTCTAGAATAATTACTCCAGTAAAATTAGTTTTGAAAACTTTATTTAGCGCTTCCTTAGAAATATAAATTTTGCAAAAAAGCAAAGCAAAATCTGCAAAGTATTTGGAAAAGTTTTTTATGAGGAAAAATGTTGTACAATGTACCTAGTTTATTATTACTACCGAGTTTTTATGTTTTTTTTAGATCCTCTCTTCATTCCGCGAACTAAAAACGACGCAGTTTGAAGAAGAAAACGAAATTTTTATAGGTCGGGTTTTCCTGTGCTGCTTGCGCAGCAACTTGCCATCATTGTTAATTACTATTTCGATCACCGAACATTTGAAGGAGCTTCATTTTTTGGTGTATGTTTTCTGGCAAAATAGGACTGAAGAAAGAAATTTGCATGTTGTCAAATGAGGTATCGAACTGGAATTTTCCGTCGGTGGCTCAAGCTGCAATAAAAATTATTCATTAACTTTTGCCAAAATTGAAGACTAATTTTTGTATTTGAGATTGTTCGACTAATTTAGTGCGGTTAAAGCTGAAAATGACAGAGATACGCTCTTTGCAACGTCAAATACTAATATCAAATGATTGAATATTTATTTTTTTTGTTAATTATCGAAAGAGATGAAAATCAATGAGTTGCAAAAAAATACGAATGTCTCTTTTTGAAAAAAAAAAGTTTTGTTCTACAAAGTGTTGCTTTTTCTAATGTTGTTTTTTAGTAAAAATGGTTCTTGATGGTAAATTGAGATTTTTTGTTCTTCTTCCAACACAACCGTCCATTCTTGCTTAAAGATTTTGGCTCGTAAAATTTGGGTTGTAAGCTTCGGATCTAAATTTTGGGTTAGTTGTGATTGAAAAAGATGCCTTGGAAATTATGGCATTTTCCTTTTCTTTAGTGGCTTGTTTGAAAATCAAGAAAAAATGAACATTGCCTAAAAAAATTTTCACTTTTTTTTTTCAAGTAGTGCAGATCCCGGCCGTTAACAAAAAGGCCTAGATTAAAAATAAAGTGCGATGCTCTAAATTGATAGTTTCAAAGATTGAGATAAAGTATGCCAAAAACCTCGTTGTGGTTTTGTTTAGTGCGGAGCTTGATAATCTTTTATTTTCTTTCATATTCAAAAACTGGTGCACATGTTTAAAAACACAGCTATAGTAAAGTTTGACTGTTTTTAAAAAATTATAACCAGTTGCTTTACAAATAGCACAGTAAATTGCGACCACAATAAACAAATAAACATAATTTTTCTATTCATTGTGTCGTTTTTTGTCGTAGTTGGATGAAAAAATGAAAAAAAATCTAGAGCTGAATTAGTTTTGGAAGTTTTTTTAGACGCTTCTTGGCAAAAAACACAAAATTGGACAAAAATCTTTCAACTGTTGTCTAATATGCTTTAATCATTCTAACTATCGAAGATGCTGATATGCGATATTATACTGAATTAGAATTATTACTATGCGACAGTCGAAAAAATGTTTTCCGATGACTTTTTCAATATTTTAAATTTCTGTTTGTTGCAAAAAATGGTCTAAAAAGTTTGATAACTATTTTTAGTGGACTAAAATAAATTTGTGCTTGAACAAAAGATTATCGTCCTGTTATAAGCCTGCTCACTCGCTTGTTTTGCTCGCTCGAAATTAAACATGGAATTATATAATTTCAAACAGGTTTTTCTTGACACTGAAAGAGCTTTGATATGACATATCACTTTCCGATACTATTTTTGGCACCTGATTTTTCCCAAAAAAATGAACAAACTCAACGGTTAGTTTCCATTGGTATCAATTTCTTTTTTTTTGCTTCAATTCTATCAGAGGTCTACCGTTGTACCGCATTCTTAGAAATTGACCACGTTTCAGTGGACAAACTGAAATTCTGGGAACTTCGATCGTCGCGAAAAAAAATGCACTCATACTAATTTTCGACTTTTTCCCCTGCAAAATAAGCAAAACAAAATTATGGCTTTTTGAATAATTTACTTTACTTTAGGGACACTTATATACAGGCGGAGGATCAGGACGAAGTTCTGGAGTCGGAAGATAGTATGAAGGACGAAGAAGCGTCCAAAAAACAAGCCTACAAGGAACTGAAAATGCAGGTATGCAAAATATTCTTTGATCTCGGAGAAAAAACATATCTGAACACTAAAATTATAAAGTACGTAAAAAGTAAATTATAAAATTATAAAGTACCGTAACCATGGAGTGCAGCCTGTATTTAGACAACCGCGTATTCAGACTCGTCAGTATTTAGACAATTACTGTATGAACCAATCAGAATCGAGAAAAGACATTAATAATCCAAAATAAAAAATTATTATTTATTAATTTCCTCTTTGTCTCGATTCTGATTGGTTGAAACAGTATTTGTCTAATTACCGACGAGTCTGAATACGCGGTTGTCTAGATACTGCTATGTAACCCGTAACCAAAAATTCACGCGTTGCTGTTTTCTATCTTAGCAATGAATTTAACGCAGAGGTGAAATACTAAGAAGTATGGTAACGGATTTGCTGATAACTGCGTACTTCGTAAAGACCTACCGTGGTATTGCAATCTTTATGCACTATTTCCTTATATCCTGTTTTTCTAACAAAAAAGTCTATTTAATCATTATTAATAACACCTTTGCTCTAAAAATTTTCAGCTATTGGAAGAAGTAAGTTTATTGAAGTGCTTTCTAATCTGTTTTTTTTATTGCTATGCACTTATTTTCGGGTTTTATTTCTGCTGGCGTTTGATTTGCTTTCTCTATGCATTATGCACTAACTTTTAGAAAACTTGGTTTGACCTTCATTCATTTTGTTGTTTGCTTCTATTTCGTATCATGGTGGCCAGCGGCGTTTAAAGTGAACGGTGTTCTATTTTCAGGAAGAGAGGCTGGCTCTTTGTGTGTGTCAGTTTTTGTTCAGCATTATCTGGGGCATAGGAGGATGTCTTCAGGGCCCGAGCAAGGAAAAGTTAGAAAACTAGAAACCCACTTCTTTCAAGTTGGGCGAATTTTTTGTGTCATCGGCACATCTAATTTTTCAAAAACAAAAAAAAACGAAAAAATTTTTTACTCCCCCTCTCAGAACAACCAGGGAGGGTCGGTTCTAGGATTTTCTCGAGGGAGGGGGGTTCCGCGGATTTTTAAAAAAATTCAAAAATTTGGTCAACCTTTTTTAAGATTGACCAAATTGATTTTCTGAGCTCTCTCTAAGCACTAAAAACACGCTGTTTTGGCCAAATTTTCTGCGCTACAGGCAAAACTTTGAAAAGACAGGTAAAAAAAAGCGTTTTTAGACACTTTTTGGAAAATTTTGCCAAAAAAATCGCGTTTTATTTGGGGCGCTCTCCCCCTCCAAGTTACTATATATTGGCGCCAAAGGCGCCTTTAGAAAATTTTTAGGGTCAGTCACCAAAATGGATATCTCAAAATAGTACAAAGGGTGGACCCTTTGGGTCGGCAGGAGGTCGAATCCCTGAGGGGAAAAAGCGTTCCCCCCCCGCTAAATCCGCCCCTGCTGTGGACCAAGGCTGTCTTCCATAATTTTTCATCAAATGGTCATTTACTTGTTTTGTTTTCAGGTTTGGAGAATTCTTCAAAAGTATTTGTGACTCAGATGAACGGGCCAAGAACAATCCCAAGTACGAAACAAATATGAATGATTTTCAAAAATGTACTTGAATTCGAGACGATTTTGAGAATATAAGAAAACTAGCAGTGAAAAATAATGATTAACAAGCCCAAGTACGAAACAGAATTACAAGATTTAAAAAACATCAAATAGTTGATAAAATTTATTTAAAAAATTAGTGAAAAGTAGCAGTGAAACATAATGTTTAAAAAATGTTTCAATATTTCCAGCGAAAGAATTTGTATTACGCCGTGAGTGTACAAATGAGTGGTGGTGCTGCTTTTTTTGAGTTTTCTTATTTCTCATTTTGGTTTCTGTTTTTGTTTGTGACCATGCATTTGTGTTTTTATCTTCCGTTCTTTCATTTCATAAGAACAATTCTGCAAGGATGGTGGGAGTAAGTATTGTAATTTTTGATTTTAATCAAAATTCACCACCTTTGCATGTCGTTGGTCGTTGTTGTTTCCTTCTATCATCAACAGCAAAGATTTTTAAAATCATGTTGTTTTCACTCAATTATTAGGTGCGAAAGTTTTTCGCTAACAGGACTTTTTAATATGATATTTTTTAAAGTTATAACAAAAAAAAACCATCAAAACAGTTTCTCAAGTAAAAATGAGCTCATTTTATTTATCACGTCAATCAATTAAATTATCACAAAAAAAGCAACCGTAGGTTTGTTCACGCGATGTTGAGTTATTTTCGCGTGATCATTTCGTGACTTGGGCCGAACTTGTTTTAGGCCTAAAGATCTGAAGTTTCCGCGGCATCTTTTGATTCCCAAGCGGGGCTCAGTGTATGACTACGTGTTCGTGAAGAAGAGCTATGGATCATGGCACAAGTGGGAGGTCATGATGGAAACTACCGAGCTGGACGAAAAAACCAAGGTGGACTTTTTACCTACTAAATTTAAAGCGAGACTTAACGTTTTTTGCGAATTAGCTCGAAAGGCGTTTTGATTAATATTGCTTAAAAACTACTCCAAAAAATTATGGTAAATGATAAACTGACAAGTAAAGATGTTGTCTTTAGATTCCTCGAGTTGATATACTCGGTGATTACACACCGTATGTGAGTAATAGAATAAATCGAATTTTTGTTTTGGGTTTTTGTTTGTTTATAATTAAGTTACAATGCAAGCTCCGAATGAGTGCTGCCATTTTGAAAGTTTTTAAGTTATAAAATCAAATATTTCTGTTGATTTTGTGCATGCTTCTTGTTTTTTTGTTGTTGTGCAGAGAGTAAGTGTGTTTGTGTGTTTTGAAGGCAGCAGCATTTCGCGCCAAAGTAGAGGCAAAACGAGGCGTGGTAAGCATAACTCAAAACATCGTCATCAGTTTAATTGTATTTCCAGAATAGATTTTTAGGCCAATTCAGTCATTTTATCAATATATCTAAGGATTAATCTAATCATCGTCCGTTAAATTTACGGGAAAAAAATGTTACTTTTTTTTTTTTAAAAATGTCTGATTTTCAGATTGCCGAAATCATAATCGAGACTGTAGATACAGTTCGACAGAGGTACTTTCTGCAGAAGATGCTCGAATCCGGAATTCCCATGGGCTTCATAGGGCCCACGGGAACAGGGAAGTCGGCTATCATAAACCACTTCCTTCTGACACTACCAGAGACGAAGTACATTCTGAACACGATCAACTTCTCGGCTCAGACGACTGCGAATGTGACTCAGGAGATGGTCATGTCCAGACTAGAAAAGTTAGTCACCGTTTATTTCTGCCGGCTTCGTTTCGGTTCTGAGGTAGATCGGTTTGGGTTGGCTGGCTGATTGACTACATTTCATTTCAAGCCTAAATTAACCGTAATTATTGGAAATTACGGTGACTGTAACTTTAGCATATAGATTAAAAAAACATAAAATTGAATGAGAAATTTGGCTTTTAGTTTTGACCAAATTTCTGACAATCAGATTTGAGATAGTAATATCAGCAAAAACTTGAAATTTTAACATAATTAGAGATTAGAAGTTTTGAACTAAATAGGCGTGGAAAAGGAACAAACTTAGTTTTTAATGGCTTTTGATTCAAACGAAATAGCAAAAATTCCCAAAAAATACACTTTGTTTGCTCAGAACAAAAATTGCTCTACTCGTCTCTCTACCAATGTAAAGGTTTCCCATATTCTTCATGACGAAAACAATTAAAACCATGAAACAGAGTGGGAAAAAATTGCAAAAAAAAACTTCATCCGTCAACTGTACGATGCTATTGCAAGAGACCCAACACAATCTCTCAAAAAACTTCACGACAAATTAATCTCTGAAAATTTGTTAACAAATTTTCTACGGCCTGAATATGGAACAGTTGGCGTATCTTTAGTAAAAACAGCCTCCCCAGTTCCAAAAAACATAAGAGAACTTGACATTACTGGACGTTGGGCAACAACAAGTGATGGACAACAAGTTCTGCCTTATTGTGCAATGGTACAGCTCCAAGACCTGTTGAACAGCTTTATTCAAAATGTTGCGGTTTTTCAGCACTAAAATTCCAGTTTGTTGTGTTTTATTGATCGGAAAAAAAGAAAATCTCTACACTTACATCTTGCGTGTTTTGAAACAGAAATGCCACGAAAAAAGCACCGTGGAATTTCATCCGCAAAATTTTCTTTCGGATTATAAAACTGAATTTTTAGCGGCTGTAATAACCCAATTTTCTACTGCCTTGCGTTTTGGTTGCTGCTTCCATTTTACTCAAGCAAAATTCAGAAAAATTCAGTTACTTGATTTTTCCATGCAATATCAAATATCTGCTGCCATGCAAAAAGTGACCAAAAAGTTTTAAACGTTGTTCTTTTGCCCCCCACATTTTTGACCGCCCGAACGATCTCCGAACTAGAAATACAAGCAAACGTTGGCATTTAATTTAAATTCGGCAAATTGGCAGGGTAAAGCCATCCTTGTGGAACGTGATTCTTAACCTGACACCTCAAGAAAAGACATCTCGATATATTTTTTGTCGATTGGAACAGGGTGAGCCAAATTCGGCTCAATACCTGAAGTGGGAAGTACAAAATTGACCAATTGATCTCTCTTTTAGCTAGGAATCATCAATCTGGAAACATACTGGACCATGATGGGCTTAATTTGTCAAACATTTTGAAAAAAAATGAGCATTTTTGGTTATTATTAATTTCAGTATTGGTAATTTTCGATTTAGCGCTACGTTTTTTTATACCTCATTCAATTCAAAAATTTTCCGTTTAAACGTTCCCTTTTTGTTCTTTTTGTATATTATGACGCATACTCCGTGAATAAACTATTCAATTCGTTTCATAGCTCTATAAACGCACACAATAAACTGTTCTTGAAGCTAGCCTTTTCGTGTGCTGTTTTATCTGAATGTTATATTATACAGCCTCGGAAATGCCAACAAAAAACAATGAACTGCCTTATATTTTGGCATTTAAAAGCAGGTTGCAGTATAATTAAATACGCAAAAAGAAAACATTATTAAATTAATTTTAAAACAGTGCCAGAATTTTGTTTCGATCATTCAGTCTTTTAACTTTTTTCACACTGTTCTTTGTTCACCAGCAAATTCATAAGTTTCGTCTTTGGTTTTAGTCGCTTTAATTTCTAGCGAGAACATCTTCGTCCCCAAACAGAGCGAGAATAGATGAGAGCTGAACGGTCAGCTGGGTCAGCTCTCATGTCCAGGAACTGCTCCTGCCTGCGGGTCGGCGGTCATATTTCTGCCTCGTTTTGGTTCTGAGGTAGATCGGTTTTGGGTAGCTGGCTGATTTGAAAAATTTCATTTCATACATAAATTATTGTTTTGATTATCTACAATGCATTTTTTTGGACAACATTCACTTGGATTTTCAGCGATTTTGATACATAAACCGAGAGCAAATGATCAAAGCTACCCTCCATGAAATTATCAAGATTTAGTTCCATTGACTTACCAATAAAATCCGGGTCTGAAAGTGCCAGATTTCCATCATTTGATAGTTCCGTCTTTTATTTAAATTAGGTGTCATTCTGTCTGAAAAGTCGAAAATCCAACCAACTAATTATCGAAACTGACGCAAGTTTCTTTAAATGTTTTTGTAATCCAATTCATAGCCAAAATTTTTTAAAGTTTGATACCCCACTTTCTACCGTACTATTTGTTTGAAGTAGTCAAATTTGACTAAAAAACAATATGATGGTTCTTTCTTTCCTGTCTCTTTGCGACGTAATCGGAACAAAAATGCATCTTCTTGATATATAATTGATATGTAAATAGATTGATATTAAGTAGATATGTAACATCATTCGAAGAAAACTCGGGAGTTCTTCCCCGATTTTATTGCTGCGGCTCATAGTCATTGGTTGCTTTTCGCATACGAGCCTATTTTCCAGTCGTGTTTTCGAAGTTTTTCGCATCATCCCATTTCTGCTTACAATGATTCCCTTTCATTCAGGAAAGCGAGGGGGATGTATGCTCCCCCTGAACGTAAACGGATGCTGCTGTTTGTGGATGACTTGAACATGCCGACGAGAGAGAAATTTGGGGCGATGCCTCCGATCGAACTGCTCCGACAACTCATAGACCACAAGTTCTGGTTCGAAAAGTAAGCACCAACCCAATTCTTCTATACTTATCCTTTGGATCTAATTGACATTCTACTTAGCACTCAAATTGAACTAACTATTTGGTAATAAACCCCCTATGCAATACAAAAATAATGATTAAGCGTTTAGACATCATTAAATTTTGCTCCCTTGCTCAGGGTTGGTAGCAATGATACTTTAGAGCATATTGCTTCTAAGTCCAAGTTTTGTTCAAAATTGTTCTACAATTTCATTTTATTTTTAAAGGTTTTCAATTTTTAGTTTCAGTTTTTGCACAATCAAATGTTTTTTTTTATTTTGGGAATTGCTGTTCCTTCCCGATGAAGAAGATGACTATGATGCTGAAAGGGGTTTCATCATTTTATCAGAGCATTGTTAACTTCTCTATAATTTTTTCATCCCCTATTCTCCTAAGTGAACAATATCTGACTCTAGAAAAACTAATTCAACAGTTTATAATATGCTCATTTTACAACATTTTTACCAAAGATAGTAACAATAAATCCCCTCCTTAGCAATAGGGGGGTGGGGTGGCGGGGGGGGGGGCGTTGAAGATATTTTCATAAGAGCAGAAAAGGGGGTTAATAAGACGTTAATAGGGGGGGGGGGGTTAAAGAGATCTTCATAATTTTTCGAGCGTAACAAATTGGGACTTGAAGTAATTGAGAGCATAAGTTAATTTGACTTCAAAACTGTAGGCCCCGACAATACAGCATCGACAACCGTACTTTCCGGAAAAATGCCCTGCTAGGCGACACCGCTAACAAGCGACGTCTCAGCCGCCCCGCGACAGCCTCGCTGGGCCTTTCGTAATTTACCTTAGCTCAATGTTATTTATTGTTTTTGTTTCAATGTCACTAATGTGTTTATCACTTTCATTTATTGTTTTCTCTGTTTACGCAAATAGCGTCTTACTAGCAGCCAGGTAATAAAGGCTTTGATTGTTTGGGTTGTAGATCAATTTAGAAATAAGTAAATTCAAAAAATTATAGCTTAAATGAAATACCGAAATACTAAGGATACAAGTACCTTTTTACCTCTAAAGCTCCCATTCTAAGATTCAGAAAATAAAAACCAAAACAAAACTAGTTTGGGAAGTTTTCATTACCTTGAAGATTGTCTAATTTCTAAATTGATCTCGATCTCGACTGCCACTTCATAATTTCTCACTTCGCAATCTGGGCTCTTTTCAGTATTGACTTCGCATTGATATACAGGTGGTAACTAAGTCAGTAGCAAAAAATATATTCCGCTGTTAAGCTTTGATGGGAATCTGAAAAGAGCCTAAAATTTTGTTCACGTATTTTTTGTCTCCAATTTGCTTCTATTTTGTTACCATTTTGCTTCTGAACGCAGTGCGGCAATTGATTGCATCTGCGTGCTTGCCAGCCAAACTTCTTGAACAGAAAAGAGACAGCACTAGTGCACTGGAACTGCACAGGAATTTGCAAATTTAATTGAAGATTATAAGAAAATCTATTAAAGTTAACTGCACAGGGTTTTGCTAATCTACTTGAAGATTATAAGAAAATCTATTAAGATTCTATTTTTTCTTCAAAAAAAAATGCGAGTCATTTTCACTGAAAAAATGTTTCAGTTTTACAACGGTTTATCAGTCGAGACGAAAGAATATATTATGTGATTTTTGTTCACAAAATTGTGATATTTATTAAAAAATGAATTATAATCAAAAAATGTGGTTTGATATTGGGCTGTTCACGCTTCAAGAAACCAGTTTAGAAAGGCCCTAAATTTTTTTTGAATATTTGATCTTCGAAATTATCAGGAATTTTATGACTGTCGCTTCAAGAAAAAATGCCGTTTCTCTTACAAATAAATGAGTTCTTTTCTCAAAACGGTGAAATTTTTACTTTGAAAAGATTTTTTTTTCACAAAACCATGAAAATTTTAAAACTAATTTCAGGAAAGAGACCAACAAAATCTGCATCGATGGCGTGCATTTGTTCACGGCTCTCGGGTTGCCGGGAGGCGGGAGAAACGACGTCTCCCAGAGGCTCATGAGACACATCCAGACTCTGGCTCTGGACGACTTCAGCGAAGACACCATCAAGACTATATTTGGACCCCTCTTAGAGTGGCACTTCAACATTGGATTTGATAATGTACTTCGCCGGTTCGCTCGGGTTAATATTATTATTCTACTAAACAAAAAAAGGAAAGTTTTAGCCTAATAATGAGGTGTGCGAGTGTTTTTAGTTGTTCGTGTTTGCATCGTGTGATCTGTATATGCGTACGATCAAGACATTCTTCCCGACTCCAGCGAAGTGTCACTATATCTTCAACTTGAGAGATATTGCACGGCTAATGCAGGTTGGCACCCATTGTTATGGTATCAAATTTTGCAAAAAGGTCTTTGGTAAAACTCGAATTCATTATAATCTACCGTTTAGGAATGAATCCTTTTGAGGCATAGGACAAGTCTTGATAATTTTAAGTTTATTTGAAAATTTTAGCTTGCAATATGCGCCGAAAGTATTGGAAGAGCCATTTTGAACTATTTTCGATAAAGTGAACTCATTGCTGGACGAAAAAATGAATATTGAATTTTAAAAAAGAAAAACCCAAAAAAATTACATGACATGAAACCCGCACTGGACACTTATCTTAGTCGTGATGATTTTTTTTTGCTTTTTCAAGGAAAAAATTGTAAATTTTGTTCACACGAAAATTGATATTTTCCAGTTTCTCTTTTAATTTCTTCTTAAGTTCAAATCAAATTCTCTTGTTAAAAGGAGGATAAATTTCACTTTCCAATTACGAAAGCTAAAATTGCGCAGTAAACTTCAACGACTTCAAGTTTCGAAAGAGCATTTTAATTTTAAGGTTTTCCAGCCGAATAATAATTTTGCCTCATTAATCCAGTTTTTTCAAATTGGGTTAATTTTATCAAATAAATGTTATATATTTTTTAAATTTGTATAATTTTGTATTTTTGTCAATTTTCTTTGAAGCTATATGTTTTTTTTTTGCTGAGACGCGAAAGTTAGATACAATTTTCTTTAAAAAATGTAAATCATATTTATCAGTTTCTGTTGGCTATGTTAAGAATCTTACGCAAAATCAGGTCCCACCAAGAAACGCCAAATTAAGTCGAGTTTTATATCCTATTAAAATTTTACTCTGTCTTAATAAACGTGTTGGTAAAGTTTTTTTTTCTGCTGTCTCGAGAGGCCTATTTGAAACGTCTGCGTTTTTGACGAAGTTAGATTGCAAATACTTAATCATTTTTAGCTTCAATTGAATCTTTTTATTTTACGCTTTTAAATTCTTTTGGTGTTTCTAATAATATTGGTTGCAGTGCAAGTGGCAAAAAATGTTTCGGCTGTTAATCTAAATAGATTATTTGAAAAAATATTTATTATTTCTATTTTTGAATCTTTTTTATTGCCAATATGTCTAGTCGATGAAAAATAATTGATTTCGAAAACTATTTGCAAGAAAAAGGGTTTATAGCTGAATTAATGCTGCGACTACTTTACAATTAGATCGAATTTCACTTTATTTCATGCAAATAAGTCTTAAAGGCAAAAACTTTCAGGCTAATTTCTCTCAACCGTGGGGCAGGTTCAATTATTTTTTGGAAACTTCATTAAGTTTTATTAAAATGTTTTATTTCGATGTGATCAAACGAGAAACCTCCAAGAAAGCTTTTCCCCGAGAAACATAAAATCGGACCGAAACATACTCATTCTACACCATAGTTCCTTCCCACCATTTTATCGGGAGGCCCATAGCATAGTAGTAAGGCGTTCACTTTCAAATCGTCAGATCTTCCATCCCATGCCATGGCAAAGATAGTGTGTTAGGACGAGCTCTCACTTGATCTAACTTCAGGTCTTCCACTGCATGACCAATTTCGGCTGCAGTAGTGATACCACGTGAAAGTTCTAGACGGAAGAAACCGGCGTTGATTCGCAAAAAAGGGAGCTTCGCTCAATAAAATAACACGCTCTGGAATGTGGGGAGATAACACAAATGGACCTTCCTCGACAGGACTGTTAAGGCCTACTGATAGCTCCTCTGCGATTCGCAGGAACCACATAAATCACATTATTATTTAAGAAAGTGGTCTGAATAAAAATAAAAACCTACAAAATCTTGCTCACCCCACTGGATGATGACATTAACAGGCCAATACAATTGCTTCAAATCTTGACTGTGTCAAATGGTTTTCTGAAAAAAAATGAACAGCCAATTTTTTTGAGTGGTAAAGTTATTGGTAGAGATAATGGCAAGGTTCCTAAAATGTGGTAACGGATCCTTGCAGATGAAAAACAGTGAAAAAAAAAATATATTTTTACGAAAATATTTCATTTTTTTGTTTCAGCAAATATTTCTGTGAAACTACAAATCAACTCTTTTTTTAGTCAAATTGCCTTTATTTTTATCTTTCTGAAAAGTGCCAAATTATGTGTGAGTTTAGCTGGTTTTTATAATAATGACTGGTATGTAAATGACATCGTGCGCATATGGCTCAACTTCTAAGGCAGTAGAATCTGGAGCTTTAGGTAGACGATGGCGTTGGTACGAATCACATATGGGGTACTTTTGTTTGTGTTTTTAATTGCAAAAAAAAACAGTAATAGGAACCCTTTATGCTACTTTGCACAGCAAACAGTTACCTTTGTTTCATTGTTTAATTTGTTATTGTTTCTGTTGTTAATTTGCAGGGCTTCCTGATGTTCAAGAGTGACTCTGTGAGGGACGTGAGTGGGCAGAATGAGGCCAACTACAGACTGATCCGCCTGTGGATCCACGAGGTGTACAGAGTCTTCTTCGACAGACTAGTCGACGACCTAGACCGAACAAAGGCCTTCGAAATTGTCAATGTGAGCAAACTGACATCTTTGGTGTACTTCAAGGATTGGATATTTTCTTATTGTTATCAGTTGTGTAAATGATAATCGAGTCTGAGCCCTGCTTGAAAGCGAAATTATGTATTATAACTTTTCAACCCGGTTCGCGGTAAAAAGAAATTGCCCTCCTAAAGTTTTGCTGGATCCTTGATGAATTGTGTGATCCTTGATGAAAAATTGGAGAGGAATTGATTGAATTGACCTTTGCACCCTGGCAAAAAAAAATTGGATCAAAATGACCATTTAGTAGGGCTTATAAGGTTTCGAATTTAATGAATTATTATAATACATAGGGAAACTCTCAAAATAGCAAAAATTTTTATCGAGTCGACGCATCTTTGCAGGAAGGATTTATCGCGCAAAAGAATATCTTTTCTGTGAAACCACTTCCATATTTTTGGACTCGATAAAATGTGTACATAATCTGTACCAAAATGTGCATTAAAAATGGATTTTGGTGACTATCGAATCGATTATAATAAGTATAAAGTGCAATCGATTGCAATCAATTTGATAGTAGAAAATAAATCCATTATTTAGCTGACATGTGAATTCACATGAAATAACATGTAAGTTACACAAAAAATTACGTGGGGGTTCAAAACAAAATTCCGTAAAAAACATGTGATTTTACATGTTTGGACATGTGAATCACTTGTGACACGCAATTTCTCCCGAAGTTTTAATCACATGTGACGAACATGTGAAACTAGGTAATTTTTTTCGTAAAATTACATGTTCATTTTTTTGAGTGTAGAGCATAAAAAACTAGATTGATGAACTGTAGATTTTACTTGCGTTAATCGATTGCAATCTTAGTTTTGCCAATGCGGGTATGCAAATTCAACGCAACAAACTATGAACATGATGCTTAAAACTTAAATAACTTAAAATTTAATTTTCAGGTGGTGGTGCGAACCCACTTCAAAGAGCGACTGAACAATGTGTTGTCGCATTTGTTGACAGCGAAGGACTGCAAGGACTCCGATCTCCGAGGTCTCTTCTTCGGCGACTATCTCTCCCTCAAAGAGGGCCAGGGCAGATCTTACTCCGAAGTCACTGACATCGCCAAACTGCACGAGGTATAATTAGTAGCAAAAAGTTGGAACAGACAGAAATAAGTAAAAAGAGCAATCTGCCAATTTCGAACAATTTTGCATCCAAATTTGAGTTTTTAGGTGACATTGAGTCATACTTCCTGTCTGAAAAACTAGCTTTTGCATACTAAGCTTTTAAATAGGTCATTTGCTCTTTTTAATTAGCCCTGTCTGTTTTAACTTTTTGCGGCTCTCTAAATTTCATCTCTAGACATTCTTGGATTCCCTAGTCGAGATATCGCTCAAAAACCGCTCAAAGTTTGAGCGCTTTGAGCCATTTATTTTACGACTGCGCTAATTTGCTCAAATGATAGTAGACCGTCTAATTTGCTCAAATGTTGTTTCATGATCTAATTTTAATTTTTTTCATTCGGTTTTTTTCCCTCAATTTATTGATGCTTTGTAGGCACCAGTGCAAACAACAGCTCAGTAGGATGTAGCTCTATTCGAGGCTACAAGGATATAAGATAAGAAAATATAGCTAGGAATTCATAAGCATGGTTAATTTCTTCTTTAATATCTGTTCTTTAATAATTCAATTTTAAGTATTTTCTGTTTGGATGTAAATGCTTTCGGTTTTATTGACTGTAGGCTATGGAAGTGTTTCTGGAGGAGTATAACATGAACAGTAAGGCGCCGATGGATCTAGTCATGTTCAATTTCGCCATTGAGCATATTAGCCGAATTGTGCGAGTGTTGAAACAGCCAAAGGGACATCTACTTCTCATTGGTAACACGACTCATCTTTAAAAACCCGCTCCCTCTCTCGAAAAAATCGTAGATCCGCCCCAGAATATAAGTTGATTTTCTCAAAAATGCCTTCTTTTATTAGCCGCCGACCGTACTCATTGTACGGGGAGGTGATTTAAACCCATTTAGCCGTAGCCGTTCTAACCTTAAAGCGGCGGATGACATTGGGATCCCTCCGAGCGTGACCAAAGTTGGATTCGAACCCAGGATTTCGAACCCAAAAATAACCTAAGAAAAATATTTTTTTTTTCTAAAAATATATAGAAAAAAAATCATATATATTTTTTCTCTATTCATTCTAAAACACTACTTTCAATTAAAATCGCGCAGTTATCCTAAAAAGTTTCAATTTGTTTAGGTAAATTTTCAAATTTTTTGTTTGTCTGCGGCAGCAAAATTTCTCTTTCTCTTGAAACGTATGAAATGTTGGGTTTTTCAAAGCTAACTGTTCTTCAATCTAAGGTATAAGAATCAAGTCACACCAAGTCACAAACTTTTTGTTAATTCTTAGATTGGCTTCCCCCCCCCCCCACCACCAGCGAAATTTTACTAGTAAAATTTTGTTCACATTATCGGATTGTTACAAAAACTGGCATGTGGACTGACGACTAGGCTATGACAAACATATTTGGTCTTCTTAATTAACCTTGTAAAACCCCTCGTTACAACATAAAACTGATGCATGGGTGAGGTGGGGGAGGGGGGGAGGAAAAAGAGCCCTTAGATTTTTGGGATCTCTTTAATTGTCCCACCCCAGTCACTCTTTTGCAAAAAGGGAGGCGAAGATTCGTTACTGGTTAAAAAACTCATCACATATACTAACCTTTGATTTATTTCTTTATGGGCGTGGCAACTCGTTACTACATGCCATACGGGTATTTAAATAATCAAAGAGATCTGGTTTTTGTTATTGTTATTTTTGGAGAGGGTGGAAAACAATTTCAGGAATCGGCGGAAGTGGGCGGTCGAGTGCGACCCGACTGGCAACCTACATGGCCATGCACACTCTCTACGACATCAAGATCAGCCAGAACTACGGCACCGCCGACTGGAGAGAGGACATCCGGAAGGTGCTCAAGATAGCCGGCGAACAGGGCAACAGTGTCGTCCTCATGTTCGGAGACCACCAGATAAAGGTATAAGAGGAGGAGAGCGGTGGGGGGAGCGAAGCGGTGGTTAGTGGTTATTTTGGGGGCATGGGAGCGCCTTCTTTGTACCCCCTGGGCAACAGTGTCGTGCTTATGTTCGGAGACCATGTAATAAAGGCATGCGAGTGGGCGGAAGAAGGGGGGGTAGTTGGGGGTATGAGAACGCCTTCTTCGTACCCCTTATGGTTATAAAGGAACGGAAATGATTTCAAATTCACCGTACCAATTGTACGGCGGTATGGCGCTTTTTTGATGATGAAGACATCTGTTCAAATAGCTGTAGTCTTATCCAGTTGAAAGGTGCCAAATATTGCTTCAAAAAATTAGGACTTTCCTATAGAAATGAAATAATTGGAAATGGCTTAACTAGTCTTAAATTTATGAAAAAGAAAACATTTTCTGTCGCTCAATTTATCAATTATTCAAGTAATTCCTGAATATGCCCATATTGTTTCTCTGACAATGGTTTTTGTTCAAAATTTCCAACATTATTTATTGTAGCAGCCTACTTTTGGATTTGACTTTGTCTGGTTTGACTTTGTCTGCGTTTGACTTTGTCTGTGTTTCAGGATCAATCGTTTTTGGAGGATATCAACATCTTGCTTAATTCAGCTGACATTCCGAATTTGTACGAGCACGAAGACAGGCTTGAAATCATCGAAAAGGTAATTATTCAATCTTTTTTATGGGTGAATACTTTTGAGTCAACAATTGATTCACATTTTAAACTGTTTTATGCTTTTTGTTCCGAGCATTTCACAAAAGGTAAAGAAACTTGGGTGTAAGGTGTTTTTTTTCTGCACAATTTCATGTAGAACCTCAACCAAAGCTCATCCGAAGTCAAATGTGGTATCATAGCACTATAAATGTCTTATTGGTCGTGATTTAGAAGAAGAAAATCAAAAAAGATAAAAGCAGTGTCGAGAAAAGCTGATCTGAGGTTTCTGCTATTCAGACAATTTGAGCAAAGAGTGGAGAAAATTAAGTCCTCAGCTGGACTCCATTTGAAAATGCAAATGTTTTTCCCCTAATTTTAAAATTTTTAGAACTGAGAAGGGCTTTTTTGGAGAATGATTGAAAACTAAAGAAGGCAACCATATTCAATATATTTCCTCGAAGACCCGTCTCTTCATAAAATTTCTTTCAATTTTATCTGTAGCCCCAATAACAAATGCTTCGGTGAAAAGCGTAATTAGAAAAAAAATTGTAATCAGAAACTCTTTAGTGGCTGGCTGCGGTAGGTTTAATAAGATAACTAATTTCAGCTAGTTTTAGAATTGGTTATAACCGTTATTTTAAAAACTTCGAGCGTTGCCGGTATAAAATTTTTGATGACAGAAACAAAAAGAAACAAAGATAGCCGGTTGCTGTGCAACTAGCACAAATTTTCCGACCATAATCTAAAACAAAGCATACGTTTTTTTTCAAATTAGTGCCGTTTTCTGAGCGTGGTGTCATAAAATATCTGAGGAAAGCCAACAACTTAGGTGTAATTGGCAATCACAGTAAAACAGGCATGTTGGGCATTTGTTTTGTCAAAAACAGAAAAGAACAAAATTTTTAAGTTTTTGTTTTCAATTTTTTTTGCAGATGCTCTTTTGAATTTCGAAGTTTATATTCCCAAGACCGTGCTGCAAAACTTTTTAAAATACTTTTACTAGAGTGAAACTAAAAATTAATGGCCTATCCTACTTTAAAAAGTCTGCTCGCCTGCTTTACTTGCTCGAAATTGAACTAAACCCTAAAAGTTTTAAGCCAGTTTTTCTCAAAAATGGGGAACGATTTTGATGTCCTTCAATTCAGGGCTTAAATAAAGAGCTTTAATATAATATATCACATTTACCTTTACGATGATTATTTCTGGCAATTTTTATAGTTGAAGAACAAAATAAACCTCGCTCAAATAAGACGAAAAATCAAACCTTCCAACCTGTTTTTCCCAAGTTTTAACGAGGACTTTGGTTTATTTTAGGCATTTTTTTTTTGCGTAATAACTCAACATTCTCAATTTTCAAAAGGGTAATTTTAAGCACTGATCTCCTTTTATGGTGAAATTAACATTAAAGTATGTACAGTCAGTGAAAAGAATACAAAAAAAAAACAAAAATCCTACATTGTTTAAAACAATCTTAATTTTCTAGATCTTGCAGTAGCATATGACTGCGCTTACAAGAAAAAATTATTATATTTCAAAAAAGGAAGTGAAGACGCTTATTTTAGATTGTGCTGTTGTTTTAGTTTCTTTAGGAAAAAGACTTAAAATGAATACCCAAATTTGACTTTCATTATTTGAAACTCGATTTTTTTGCTAATTCAATGACAAAATGTTTTCGACAATTACGAAAGTGTAATTTAATGGCGCAAAAAATAGGAAACTTTTCAATTTTGAATCTATTTCGATTCAATATTTAAAGAAGTATTAATTGATTTTTCTTTGTTTTTTTTACGTTTGTTGTTTCCTTTTTATCGCTTTTTTGAGGATAAATAAAAATATGAGACTAAATTATTGTTCTATCAATATGAAAACCCAAATTTTTTTTGTAAAACTTCTCATTCGTTTGTACGATATTGAGTTTTCATTTCTTTGAAATTTACAGTTTTTTTTTTAAATTTTTTTTCGTAATATTTCAAGAGGAGGACAATGTTGCGTTCAAACAGAAACTGAGTGTATGATTCTTACAATACAGCATTATCCCGTGAAACCGCAAACTTACTACATCAAAAAAAAATTTTCGATTTTGTTCTGAAGTATATTTTTATCTTTAGAATTATTTATGCCAGCATCGTATGCACAGAATGATTTCTCAAAAAACTGATTGCGTCTGTCATTTGGAGGTTTAAAATTAAATTTGACGGTATTTGCATCTGTTTTTGCCGCTTATTGAAAAGTTGCAAAAAAATTACAAAACAGATTGAGGTGCAAAACTTAACAAGGCCTTACGCTTCTATTTTTGTGTTTTAAATGTCTTTCAATATCTCTTAGTCTCCTAATTCTGAAACATTACTGTTTGAATTTTGAACAGAAATTTGAATGATCTTCGAAAAAGTATTCAAATGTTTTTCAACATTTATTATTTAGCTTTTAGTTTTTTGAGAGCTGGAAGGGAAGGCAAAAATTTAGAAGTTTGATCAAAACACGTTTTCAGTTCTTATTTTTGTGGTACATTTTGTTGAATATAATAATATTTTTGAAACTATCATATAATTCTTTGAAGAAAAAGTATCTAAGCTTGAACTATTTCTCTTTGCTATTTTTTTAGCTTCGAAAACTTTCATTTACTAGCCAATGCAAGCATCTCATTAGTATGGTTTGAAGTCCAAGATGAGGTTAAATAGATTCATTCAAATAATCGCTGGCCGTGAAAATGACCGAAATAATCAAAGCTTCATTTTTGAAAACAGTTGAATTTTTTTGCTGTTAATCCAACTCAAAACAAGAATAGGCGACGACTATGCAAGTAGCACAGAATGTTCCGATGACCATAAATCATATAAAAAAACTCAAAAAAAATTAAAAACAACATTTTTTTTAATTTTCCTAAAAATTTTGGTTAAAGGGGCAATCGAATTACGTAGAAATCACATTAGATAATTCTTGCATAAATAACAAAAAATTACAATGGACTTGAGCTGGGATTTCACCACTCTGTCATCAAATTTTGTGTAAAACCGAAAACTTTGGACCAATTTTTCTCGACACAGACATTTTTGAACTTTTTTGAATCTGAACCACAACCGATAGGGCTTTAATACGATGACACACTTGATTTATAAGAGCTTATCTAAATGTTACCTAAAATTTATGGTACCTTAAGTTTTGCGACAAAAAATCGCTATCACATTGCTCCTTCCTGCAACTCCGTGACGTGGTTGGATTAAGTATAATCTTGATCTAATTTTGATCTAAATTAGCACTGGTTTTTACTGCTAGGTTATAGGCTTTCTACAAAAAGGGGCGGATTTTTTCATAATTAAAAATATAGTTTTTTTAGGCCGAGAAAAAATTTTACGAAACTTTTCTGAAAATCAAAAAGACCTAATTTAGGCCAAATGTTCCAAAACTTTGTTCGTAAAATTGTACCAAACATGGTAACTTTGAAAAATGGAGGATTTCAATTCTTGAGAGGAGGGAAACGCCCCACTATTGGTAAATCTTGTTTTGTGTGAGGGATAATAATGAGAAATCGTTTGAAGTAGAAGCACCCAAAAACATAAATTTTTTAAATCAGCGTCTGTTTTAGAAAAATTCAGCTTTCTGGAAAAGAGTTTAAGTTTTGCTGTTATCTGTAGATGCAACAAGTGGCGCTGGCTGAGAAGCTGAAGGTCGAGATGACCCCTCTGAACATGTACAACAAGTTCTTGGAGAGGGTGAGGATTAATCTACACATTGTGCTCACTTTCAGTCCCATCGGAGAGGCCTTCAGAAACAGGCTTAGAATGGTTCCCTCACTCATCTCCTGCTGCACTATCGACTGGTTCCAGGTTAGTTGCATCACTTTCATTATCATTATGTCATTATTACGTCATCATTACGTCATAATTATGTCATGGAACTCAAAAAAAACTGACATTTTGCAACAAAAGTGTACTAGCTTTTTGACCAAAAAAGTGTATCTTATCGAGGGAAAACTGTGTCGTAGGAAAACTTAATCTATCATTTTTTTCTTACCACACTTCGAAAAAACCTCATAAAGTGCCTTTGAAGTTCTCCGAAGTGTATTTATTCTTAACATTTACTTCAAACCTGTTTTATTATAAGTCATTAAAGATTTTGTTTACTGGTTCATTCCTGGAAATTGATAATAGCATTTGAGTTTTAAGTCAATTTCTCACCGGAGAACAATTCCTGGAAATTAGTAATAGCATTTGAGATTAAAGTCAATTTCTCACCAGAAAACAATGTATATGACCAGTGCGCTATGCAACCCTTTGCAGAAAACTACCTCTGGTGTAACTGTTGTAACCCTGATTGAAACCCATATGCAATGTTTGATTGTTTTTCTGGGCTGGGTAATGCTGCATCACCCTCGAACGAACAAAATGAACAAATTTTTCGTTTTTAAAGGTTTCTCAAGACTCATGAAGTTGACAGAAACCTTGTGAAGTTCTTAGGAACGTCGTTTTTTTAATATGTCACTGGTTAATAGTCTCAGCTGCTAACTTGCTAATTATTTGTCTTTTTTAAAAGCTGGTAAGAGCTTTAAATGTTCACAATCATTGCTTGGTAGATGTGGTGCATCGCACAAACTGTCGTCAACACCCGTAGAATCAATGTTCACATTTAATTTTAGCAGCTTCTTTTTCAGCGAACTCTTTTTTCATAAATTCAAATTATTCGAACCAATTCCTCATTTTAGATGAAATCGAAACACAAAAACCATCATCGCACTTGATGTAATCACTTCACAGTAGATTAAATTTGTATAATAATAATCAATAACCGATTTTTTAGGGGGGGGGGGGGGGGTGGCTTGCTAGCAAAAGGTGTGATAGCCTTCCTTTGGTAATTTCAACGACATCCATTTTTATCTGACCGACCCTGAAGCTTTTTAGAGGTGCCTTTAGAATTTTTCGTCAAAATTGTTTTTGGCCTAATTTTTCAAAAACTCGCCGGCGGCGCGGAAAATTTAATTGATATTAACCCAAAATAGGATCTTAACAGTGTTTCGGGAGTGTTCAAAAATTAATTTTGGTCAACCTTAAAAAAAGGTCGCAAAAATTTCGACAGTTTTTTGAAAAATCTCCTCTTTTCTCAAAAAATCCTACATCCTCGCTTGATAATAATGAGAACAGAAGTAATACTAATAATCATAATAAATTAGGCTTTAATCCGTATAATTGGGGCTCCGCTTTCTTTTTTCAATATTATCATCATTTAGACTTTTTTAATTTAACCTTTTAAGCTTATTAGATTATTCGTGATATTTACGCATTCTTAATGCAAATCGTTGGCACTTGAATGAAAAAAAAAACAAAGGCCAAATATAATTATTTTTTTAAACTTCTTTTATTCCCTAACGATCACGTTAGTTAAGTGAAAGAATAATAATTTCGCTGACCAGTCTTTAAAATTGCTTATTTTGAGTAGGCGTGGCCTGAAGATGCCCTGGAGAAAGTGGCAACCAGATATCTGGACGACGTGGAGATGAACCCAGAAGTGAGGAAAGAGGTCACACACATGTGCAAGCAGTTCCACCAGGACGTCCGACAACTTTCAGACAAGTAACAAACCAAATTTCGACCCTTTTCTGGTTTCATTGAATGCGGGTCATAGAAAGAAAGCAAAGTTGTTCAATGCGTTTTCGAGAATCAAAAACATTTCTGAAAAATGTAAGATTCACTCATTTTTGCTGAAAATTGAGTAAAAAGTTGCAAAACATTTTGTTTCAATCTGAAAATTCGAAAGTAACTTTGTCGAAAACATTTAAATGTTTTTTTTTCTGTTAAAAATCATCGAAATTTAACAGTTTATGATTTTATTTTTTAACAGTTTCAAAGAAGTCCTTCACAGATTCAATTACGTCACTCCCACTTCCTACTTGCAGTTGATAAAGACATTCAAGCGTCTGCTGGACAAAAAGAGATTGGAGATCCTGACTCTCAAAAACAGATACCAGGTATACAGGACGCTAAAACAGATACTAGTTAAAATGGGAATACAGGGCGTTATTTTAAATTTTCATCAAAAGAAAACTGATTAAAATTCATTTCAAAAAACCATACCCGCACTCAGTAAAAAGGGAAATTAATTGATTATATTATAAATATAATCATACTTTTAGCAAAACTATAATTAATTATAAGGGCCAATTTTAGATGTTTAAACGATTTATAATCCATTATAATGATAACAATTTTGATGAAATTTTAATAAAAAATAATCAAGTATAAAAACAAGTACTAGTTAAAATCAAAATACAATAAAAGCAGGCAATTAGAAACCTAAGTGTTTCGGGCAGTTATCAAATTGTTAATGGCTCAATCACGATTAATGTAAAATCTTTTAGCAGGTTGCGATAGTATTTTTTGGTTTAATAGCAAACCTTTCCCATTGACAGGGAACCCTATTCCCTTGCAATTTAAGCTATTGCCACATACTCGACATTCTAAGAGGGAGCAGTGGTGAAGTGGTTACGTCTCCGCCTCTCAATCGAAAGGTCGGATGTTCGAGGCCCACCATGATCCGTGCTCGTTGCTTGAGGGTGAGGCAACATTACCCAGCCCAGAAAAATAACCAAAAAAATTGCATGTAGTTCTTAAGCAGGGGCACAACAGCGGTTCGCCGTGATGAGCTGTACAGCTCGTATGTTGGTCCTATCCCTCGTGGATAAATGATCTTAGTGTAGGGCGCAGTTTTAGATGCCATATGATAACTATGGAATAGTGCAAAACGTCATGGATCCGTCATTGAAATTACAATTGAAATATGGTATTCGACTTCTCTCATGAGTCGTTTTGAAAGAGTTTCCATTTTTTATAATACAGGTCGGTCTGCAGAAACTGGAGTTCGCTGAGACTCAAGTGGCGATAATGAGTGAGGAGTTGAAGGACTTGCAGCCACAGCTGATCCAGACTTCGAAGGAGACGGAGGACTTGATGGGTGTGATCCAGAGGGACACTGAGGAGGTGGAGAAGGTGAAGAATGTGGTGGAGGAGGACGAGGAGGTGGCCAACAGGGCAGCTGCCGAGTCACAGAGCATCAAGGTCAGCCAGCCCTCGGCCTTCATTGCAACTCCCCCCCCCCTCTCGAACCCCCTCATATAGACGAATAAAGTTCCTTGTTAGACGAAGGTGGTACTTTTAGTGCTCCTTCATTTAGACGAAGGTGGTACACTTTTTTCTTCATTCTTTTACTGTGCGTCTAATGTTTTCACGCATAAAGCCGATGAGAGCACTAAAACCTGTCACTAAAGTCAGGTGAGTGACGATTTAAATACTTGTTTGGATGACTCCCTTCTCTAACGCAAGCCACTGCATTATAATTTGGAGTAGGCAGGGGCGAAGCAAACAGGGATTTTCTCGAGGAGGAGGGGGGGGGGATTTTCAAAAATAAAAACGTTCGACCATTTCATTCCAAAATGATTATCCGGGCTCACCTAAACTAACTATAAAGACCCTATTTTGACCGAAAGTCCTGCGTCACTGGCAATTTTTTAGAGAAACAAACCAAAAGTGCCGCTCTGTGTTGCTAAATCATAACGACACCCCCGGTGTAGTCTCAAGATACAACAGTGAAATTATTGACAACGACAACTTACATGGTCAACTTTTTAAAGTTATGTTTCATCAACTTCTAAATTGGAAAAGAGCCTGGGAAAGATTCCTCTGATTCTGGATTATGAGTTAGGTATCTCCCATACCTTAATTGATTTTGATTGGATGTTTCAGGACGAGTGTGAGGAGCAGTTGAACATTGCACTTCCAGCTCTGAATGCGGCAGTGGCAGCCCTGAACACCCTCAAGGAGCAGGACATCTCCCTCGTCAAGACTATGGCCAACCCCCCTCAGGGGATCAAAATTGTGCTGGAGGCCATATGCATCATGAAGGTATCGTATGCTGGATATCTATACTACCCCCCCCCCCTCTTTTGCAAAAGGGAAGGGAACTTCGCTTCTAGGTGCAAAACTTGCACTTGCTTAACTGTTGATATAGTTCTTTATAGGGGTGGTTCTTTTATACGAGCTACCATCAAACTTAATGAAATATGTTTTTTTCACTACTCTTCAATGACAGCCTCTTAAAATAAATTAACAGCCTGATCATTTGTCATCCATATATGATCAAATAATTAAGCTTTTTTTTTAGTTTTACGGAAATTGAGCTAAAATTTTAGCGGATAAATTCAAATGAAACTTTTCAGGGTATGAAACCAACCCGAAAACCAGACGCCAATGGAAAGATGATCGACGATTATTGGCCAACTGCAAAAAAGGTAAGTTTTATAGATCCGAGAACGCCAGTGGATTGTTCCGATAAGTCTGCAAACAAGTTTTACCAAAACAACGTGTACCAATCAAAAAAGATTTACAAAAGGATTCACGCAGTCTAAAAATAATTCGACAGACTTTCCTTGAAAAAGTTTTTGCAGTTCAACATTTTCCCCGGTGGATCAATCTTTGTTATATTGATATCCTATCACGTCGTCTCTGAAAACGAAGCTAACGGTACCTTTGAGAGGTGGTTGAAGTGATCCCAATATTGTTATTAATAGTCCAGGAATCACTAAAATATTACGAAGTTTTACCGAAATGATTTGATTGTACTATACGCAAAAGTCAATGCATGTCTTGAACAATTGGTTTGTGCAGATGTTGGGAGATCTGAAATTCCTGGACTCCCTGAAAGAGTACGACAAAGACAACATTGGACCAGGAGTGATGAAACAGATCAGAGACAAGTACATCAGCAACCCCGAGTTCGACCCGGCCCGGATTCGAAACGCCTCCTCGGCCTGCGAGGGAATGTGTCTGTGGATTAAAGCTATTGAAGTGTATGACCGCGTGATCAAGGTTTTGATTTTGTTCGTTTGTATTTTTCCTATATAGACCGATATTAAGTTCACATAAACTTTTAATTTTTGAGCCAAATTTTTTAAATGTATGAATTTTAAAACAGATTTCAAGGCAGATTAATTATTATTAGCGTCAAAAAGAGCCAAACTTTTGTTTTTTCTACTATAAAGCTGATTTTTGAAGTCAGAGAATGTGACAGTAAAAATGTTATCTTTGAAATGGTCAAAACCAAGAAGACCTTGAAGAATGCTTCGATCAATTTAGAATATGAACAGATCATTTTATCTAAACGTAATAATAATTAAACACCATGACATAAACAACATGAGGTTATGTATTGACATATAGGTGATTGCGCCGAAGCGTGAGCGACTGGGGGAGGCGGAGAAGAAGTTGGGGGAGCAGATGGAAATGTTGGAAGTGAAGCAGAAGGAACTGCAGGAGGTGACTTCGAAACTGGACGCCCTCCGGCACCAGTTCCAGGAGAAGAACGACATGAAAACTTACCTCGAGTCTCAGGTGGGCTGTCGGCACATATTGGGGGGGGGGACACTTTGGCTCCCTTCACTCATTAATTAACAAACAGTTCACAGTTATCAAATATCTTTTAAATGATGTAACCCTGGTTTTGCAAGATTGCTTAAGAGACCAGATATGTTCGAAATTGGGTAATTGGTCCACTTGTCAAATATCATAACAATCGTGCGTCCGTTAACGAAAGATTTAGGAGTAAATTTTCACATCTACGGGATGGTAGAAAATTTTTCTCGTTTTCTGTGGTGGTTCTATGATTCTGAGGTCTGCTCTCGGAGGAAGCAAAAATTAACTTAAAAAAAGAAATCAAGATTTTGCGCCGATGCAAGAATGAGGAAATTTGGGCGGTTAAAAAAAGACTAAACGTAACCTTCTTATATTTATTGAAAGGAAAATGCAAAGGAGAAGGCAGATAGGCAGTAGACATTTCCATTGCACAAACTGGAAAAAATGAGATATTTTTTAAAACGTCGATTCGAATTTGATATGGATTGCTAACTTTTAAATCGATCCTCCTGAAATTAATGGTTTGAGGTAAAAAAAAGTCCTAAGGCAAGCAACTGTGACTCACTGTAACACTTCCAGAGAGTTTTATTGAGAACAATTTCTTGCTCAAACTTAGGACAAAAATAACAATACAGTTAAGTAGTATAGCTAATTTACACTGGGATCGGGGGGGGGGGGGGGGGGTGATCCCTACAGGGATCATTGGGTATTGAGATCCCAACGTAAATTTTTGAGATCCCATGTAAAAATAATGATCCCATGTAAAAGTACTGATCCCACAAGTTTGATCCCAATGTATAATTTTTTAAACCAATGATCCTGAATGTAAATTTTTGTTAGGTTGATAGCTAAATCGTCCAAATGCCCAGACGGTGTATTTCGTTCTTTTTGTTCATGCAGCAAATTGGAGTGGTATATAAAGTGGTTATAGCGATTAGTTTCATGCATGGTATATGAAAGACGCTTGATTTCTGCACCGAATATGTTTGGAATATATGTATAGAATCAGCTTGAAATTTATTCGAATAATTTGAATAGTGCTATATTTTTAAGTATTCTATTTAGCAAACTAAAATGTTTTGATAAATCTAAAGTGGGCCAAATGGTTTTTGAGCCTACATTGTAATTCGATACTTGATTAATACTCTAATTAACAAAAAAAATGGAAAAAAATCAATTAAAGCAAATGAATAAAAAATACAATTGCTAATAAGAAAATTGTTAAATAATGAGAAAGCATAAGAGTTAGGAAACGTTTCAAAATAGAATCATTAATGTAAAGGAAATCAGAAGCTTAATTTCATTGACAAGTTGATTGAAATGTATACGAAAACAGTCATGCAGAACTAAATAATAGTTTAATGAAAAAGCATATGGGTTAGGAAACTTTCGAGTATTGTGCATGTTTGATCCATTTTTGTGTAGAAATATTGTCTAAACTTGTACCTAATTGTTACTATAAAATTGAAGTGGAACAAAATTTCTTGGGGTCCGAGTAGAGGAAAACGCATGGCGCTCGACTCTCAGCCGAAAGGCGGCGTTTCGAAACCCGTCCGGAAATTGTTCTGAAAGGAGGCAACAGTTGTTGGTATGGTGATATCCCCCATAGATCAATTTTGCATTTTTTTTTAATAGTAATCTAACTTCTCGGATTATTGCTAATAATTTAACAATTGAGTAAAAATGTCAATTACTAAAAAATGTAATGTTTAAAATGAAATTGAAAAGAGTACAAAACAACCATATAAAATAGTTAGTTAATGAGAAAGCATGTGAGTTAGTAAACGTTTCAAAACATGATTATTTATGTAAACAAAATCAGAAGCATCACCATTAAAGTTTTTATCATAAATCAAATGTGCAATATAAATACAAAAAGAACCGCACATGGTAGAGTTTGAGTCTTGCATGGGATAATTTGTCATTAATTCAGTGACCTGATGAAATTTCTCGTTCAATCGTATAAACAGATTGGTGTACTGCCAAAGAGGAAGACCGAGAGGATCAGCGAAGTATAAAACATTTCTTCTGTTGCAAATCACAATCCAATGTGTCCCCGGAGAATCTGATTTTGAAGTGTTCACAATCATAAAGATGTTGTTTGGGATGTGAGGTGGAAAATTATCCGCAGCAAATACTCCAAGAAACTTATATTTCAGATGTTTACAGTTCTGAATGAGATCCTGTAATTGGATTTCATCCATTTTCAGACAGTCGAAATTGGAAGGACGTTCTTTGTAACTTTACGGTCAGATGTAACAAATACATTCGATGAGCGTATACCCCAAACAAAACTTTCCAGGTTTGCTGTCAAAGCGTTTGAGAATTGAAGATCGAGTGAAACTGAGCAGTTAGTAAGTTCTGGATGCAAGAAGTCATGAGCTGCCTGCTGTGTGCTAGTGAGATCGAAACACATAATAAAGTGCTGTTGGTAGTTATCCAGAGTGATTCCCAGCCCGCAGTGCAACAAACCTAGCGCTGATAGTGTGTTAAAGAAGAGATGTTTATGATCTTGTGTATTGATTGGTGTACTTGCTATTGGTAAACCGTTCCGTCTCAAGGTAACTTGATCCAATCCAAACTTTTGATAATGAAAAGGATTCGTTCGGTTTGTTCCTAGAAATGCATTATTTGTGTTCAATGCTATTATAATTTGTCTAACCGGTTCACGAGCAAAAATATCTTCCTGTTGCGAGCTGCGCTGACCAGTTGTTGCAAGAAATGTTTTTGTAATTTCTTCTTGATATGGGTAGTTCGCAGGAGTTTTGAGCAAAGTTGATTCAATGGCAGAGAGCACATGGTCGGTCACAGTCATTTTTCTAACATAGAGGTTCGCTTCGAGTATTTGCAGCTTGTAATGCTTGGCAGCATCTTCAGATATGATGAGAAAGTCTTCATGAGAAAGTCTTCATGATGAGAAAGTCTTCATGAGAACGTCTTCTGTTGGAAAGTCTGAGGGTAACACCGCTCAACAAATGCTTGTCACATGTGAAAAAATTAACTCCAGCGGGTCCATAGAACCAAATTTCCCTCGATTCACGGACCAGTTCTCGTTGAGATGTGAAATCAGCTGCATCTATTGCAGCGGGATTGTTTTCAAAACAATATCCCTGACACTTAAGCCATGAGTCCTTGGCTCCTTTGCTGTTAGAAAATTCTGTTCCAATAAAACTTTTATGCGCAAAATTACTATTGGCATTTGAGATTTTGAGTCTATTAGCAGAGAGGGTACAGTCAGAGAAAAGGGAATACAGGGAGTTGTTTACGAGGAACGGTGAATCAGACACAGTAGGCTCAGTGTTGTCGTATCGCAGATCAGCTCCATTTGATTGCGTTACTTTGCATCGTATTTCCAAATAAATTTTTTGCAGGTCAACAAAATTATTACGGTCACCAGTGATTTCAAATTCAAGCATTGGTCCATTAGGTGAATAGACAGGTCCAATTTTTTGATCAAGAGCGTTTTCAAAAGTAATCAAAAGGGGTTGTTTTTCAAACAAATCCAGAGAGCTATGGGTAGCTTCATTGGGTAACAAATTAGCGATCATTTTTTATGTTTGAGAAAAAATCTGCTCGACTTCTCACTGCTCGAGCACCTACTGACCTTCTTCTTCGTAATCCATTCATTGGTGTCTTTCGACGACGTCTACCACTGCCGAGTTGTTTTCTTGCAGTTTTTGTGACAGTGTTTTTCAATGCTTGTTTAGGAGACTTCTTTTTCATAGCAACATCAATCAGTTCTGGCGCTGCACTCATCAAAAGTTCTCTGCCCAATTTTTTTGCAGCCGGTAGAATAACTCGTCGTGCAAACGGTATAGCAACACGACCAATACCAGCAGCCGCGTTGTCGGTAGTGTCCAGAGAAATGAGGAAGTGAAGCTTGCTTTGCATAATATTGTTCCATTGGTTTTCAATCAAAGCGCTTGAATTTTAGAGTCAACACAACTTTACCAGTTCCTGCAAAGGGCACTAGTCTTCCAGTTTCTGTGCGCAACTGTACCGATATTGATTGTACAGATGAAGTGAATAATTTTTTGTAGTCTAAATTAGTGAAGTTTTTTCGATGATTAGGTTCAATGCTACAGGCACTACCGTTTTTGATGCGTCTATTTGAATCAATGACGCGTAACAATGGGGCCTTTGCATCACCAACAGTTTGGTATTGAATAATGTCAATATAGACAAAAATTAGACTTGTCCCACTTGATAAGTCATATGGGAAATGAGATTCGTACAGTTCGTTTCCCTCATAAGATGCATCGAAGGAGGTTATAATTTTGTAACCAATGTGATATTCACCGTTCTCATCAAGCTTTGCATTGTAGCCTTGGAAATTGGGCGCACCATTGACTGGGGCGAATATGACGTAGATGTGGTCACCACTCCCGCCGATAACGGAAGGGAGGATTTGTCTGAATCTATAGAAGCGCAGGGGGGCTATTACGTGGATCTTTTTACGCCACCATATATGGGGTTCAACCAACCCACATACACTGACAAAGAGCTAGAACAGGATTTGGTAGATTTCGACCTGCTAAGTGGGCAAAATGAGTCAGAACCAGCAGCGTACATGAGCAGCGTACATGAGGGGACTTGGGAATGAGATTCCTTCATTTGAGTTCATCCAAATGCTCATGCTATTCGTGATTTCTTGAGGACTCGCATCAAAATGAATTTTGTCTTTGAGTTTTGTTTTTATCTCATTAATCAATTGTTCTATAAAAGTGTACTCTCCTGATTTGATAAAAACTTTTTCGCCATAGTAGGGTCTGGAAATTGTATTCCGATTGCCAGCGTTGGATTTACTGGCTACTACTTCGGATGCTCTGAAGTACGTAAATTCCTCATCAGTAACATTGTTTAATTTTGTGGGGAAAATTATTTCTGAGAGAGTAACTCTCCAATCTCCGTCTAAAGCTATTTCTTCTTTACAAAAATTTCGAAAACTGGCCAAAGTGTTGTCTGAGAAATAATCCATT